TGTAAACCACACATGCTTTCCACAGGCACTTAAAACAACCCAGCCTACAACCAGCAGATTTCAGTGTAAAACAAAGCTCCAGCTCACAGATGGAGGAGGGAGATCCATCCTGCTGCAAGAGACACTCAGATTCACTCAGTCCCTCACAGCAGAGCTGTGCCCACCTTAAAAACCTCACAAGGGTTTGCCTAAAGGGCCACAATTCTGCTCTATCCAGCACATCCTAGGGTGAGCTGCAGACACAGCTTGGGATTGAGGGCTGTTCATGCTGAACAGCCAGGAGGGAACAGCGCTGCACAGAGCAGGAGCTCACGTCTCCATGAAGGAGCAGTGATCCAGGATCAGTGGGGGCTGCACCTCTGGCAAGGCTGAGCCAGCCTGGTGCTCAGTGGGCTTTCACCAAGCCCACCCTGCTCTGCCCCAGACCCCTCACCCTAATCCTGCTCCAGGACTGCTGCCAGCTCAGTGGGAACATCTCTGTGCTGCTCTGCAGGATCAGCAGCCCAAGCCACTTCTGCAATTGCTTCCTTTCCCATCTCCCCGGGCAGGCAGAGCCCTGCAGCGCCCAGCACTGCCCAATTTACTGATGAGCACCCCCAAACCCCAGGATGTGCCCTGGGGTGAGCCCCAGGCACCATCCAGCCAGCTCTGGAGCCTGAGCAGCACAGCTAAGGCAGCAGAGCCCCTGAGGTAGGCAGGGATTACACTGCATTGGCAGAAAAACCTAGAAAGCCAGCCCAGCTCTGCTGCCACTGCAGCGGGAGGGAGAGGCCCTCAGAGAGCTGCTGCTCCTCTCAGCAGAGGCTGGAACAGCCAGGATGCTGAGCTGGGGCTCCCTGTGCACCCAGCTGCAGGACAGGCACAAGGGGAACAATCCCTTAACAGCCTTGGCTACTCCAACACAGCCCATTCTGCCTCAAGAAAGGGCTCCCAGTGCTTTTCCACAGCCTCGTGGGTTTGCAGACCTCAGAAGGAGCCAGGAAGCATCAGCCATGCTCATTTTGCTCAGGGTTGGCTGCTTCACCTGTGTGCAGAACCACAACCCCCCTAAATTCCTTTCCAACCCTGCTGCCACATTCCAGCAGCCCCAGCATCACCCAGAAGGGCTGCCCCAAGTCCGAGGCACTGCACCACACCTCTCAGCACACCCCACACCTCAGCACAGCCAGCACACAGCCTAGGAGCCAACCAGCCAACCCACAAGCCTCACCAGCCAGCACGCTGAGCAAACTGGAAAATACTGGGAGCCAGGTGGAAAGCAGCACCCTGGTCCTTCCCTGACTCATTCATCAAGTGTCAGAGCATTCCTACAGCTAAATTAGCAGCACTGCCCCAAAGGACACCAACAGCACAGCCAAGCCTCATCAGCACGCTGGGCTGGCAAAATAAGCTCGGGGCTTGACAGCCTTGGCTACTCCAACACAGCCCATTCTGCCTCAAGAAAGGGCTCCCAGTGCTTTTCCACAGCCTCGTGGGTTTGCAGACCTCAGAAGGAGCCAGGAAGCATCAGCCATGCTCATTTTGCTCAGGGTTGGCTGCTTCACCTGTGTGCAGAACCACAACCCCCCTAAATTCCTTTCCAACCCTGCTGCCACATTCCAGCAGCCCCAGCATCACCCAGAAGGGCTGCCCCAAGTCCGAGGCACTGCACCACACCTCTCAGCACAGCCCCACACCTCAGCACAGCCAGCACACAGCCTAGGAGCCAACCAGCCAACCCACAAGCCTCACCAGCCAGCAAGCTGAGCAAACTGGAAAATACTGGGAGCCAGGTGGAAAGCAGCACCCTGGTCCTTCCCTGACTCATTCATCAAGTGTCAGAGCATTCCTACAGCTAAATTAGCAGCACTGCCCCAAAGGACACCAACAGCACAGCCAAGCCTCATCAGCACGCTGGGCTGGCAAAATAAGATTATTCTGCTCAAGACAAACTCAAATCCACAGCTTTCTCCCAGCTTTTGAATGATCTTGCTTTTGGGAAGAAAGGGACCGGCCACCCTGAGCATTTCACCCTTAGACAGTGCCTCATGATCCAATTTTCCACGCTCTGCCAACCAAGAGGGATTTGTCTGGAAGCCTGGGGTGGGCACACCCAGCACCCAGGACGGGCCCACACGGCTCCAGCGTGCTGCAGGATGTGTCAGGACAATTTGTCACTCCCGTGCTGATGAAGGCAGGCTTTCAGGAGCTTCAGCACCGACACCAGCTCCAAAATATTCCCAACGTGGCTGTTCCAACAGCCCCATGATGCTGCAGAGCCCAAATTCCACGTGGGGACACAAAGGTAAGCAGGGAGCAATCCCTGCTGCTGCACCCTCGGGACTGCTCAGCAAAGTGGAACCCAGACACTTCCAAATCCCACGCCTGGAAAACGCTGGAAAAAAGCCTGTGATGCTACACAGACCAAGGAGCACTCCTGGTTCTCCAAAATGTAGCAGAGGAACACAAAAGGCAGAAGATGAAACACCCACCTCGCCAGCCTGCTACAGCATCCCTGACTGGCTACACCCAGCTCTTCCTCAGGAGGAAGGGCAGCTACAGTGTCACATTTTCCTCCTTTTTATCCTGTGAGGTCGAGCCAGGGGAGCAGAATTTCCCATGGTTTTTGGGAGGGAAATGACAAAGCTACAGCACTCCCTTTTCATATATGAAATACATGAAATAAATACATTTGTTTGGTCCTCCTGAAGCTGGGACAAACACGTTGGGAAGGCAGAGGCTGGAAGCAGAGGGAAACAAGGGGATGCAGAGGAGTGGGAAGGGTGAGCAAGACCAAAGTGGAAGTCAGATCTGTTAATACTTAACACAGAGCTTGACAGAGACACACAAAACCTGCACCTGGCTGGGCTCATCCCCTCCTCAGGAGCTTGCCACAGGGCACACAGAGCTGCCAGCACTGCCAGCCCCAGTTAATCCCTGCAGGATAAACATCCCCAGCTGATCTGTGACACCATCTGTGGGATGGGCAGCGCACTCCCCAGGTCTCAAAACGTGAACCCCACCTGCATCTTACTCAAAGAATGAGAAAATGCAATACTTTACTCAGGTGTGAAGCATCTGCCAGTGGATCCCCATCCCTGGAAGGGTTGGAGGCCAGGCTGGAGGAATCTGGTCTAAGGGAAGATGTCCCTGCCCATGCCAGGGGGGTGGAATGAGATGGACTCTAAGGCTCCTTTCAACCCAAACCATTCCATGATTCTATGTTCAAATCCTCCACAAACTACAGGTAAATCACCCAACACTTTGCTTTTCTCCTTAAGCTGCTCATCCTGGGGTGAAAACCAAGCATTTTGTGTTTCAAGAGCGAACAAAGCATAACTGGGTTAGGCAATTTCTCACTCCTAGAGAGAATGAGGTTTAAATTTTTCTCCCCTCAAGAGCAGCCTGCAAACACCCAACTGAGACCTGCTTTGACTGACCACCCTGAGAAAAATAATGCCAAAAAAAACTGAACCCCACAAGGAAAGCCATGAAAAACCCCAAATGTGAGGCACTGGCAGCAGAACCAAAACCCCTTCAAGGAATGGAAGCGGGCAGCTCGACGAGACAAATTAAGGATTCTCAGCAGCAAATTGTGTCCCACTGATTCAGACACGCACCCAACATCTGCCCACATCCACTCCGGGGAAGCTCGGGAATTCTCTGCATACAAATGGTGACAGCTTAGCTCATCTCAGCTGCTCCTTCCAGCACGCTTCCAGGCACGAGCAGCCTCCCTCTCGCTGCAAATGGAGCTGCACCTCGCGGGGTGGTACCGCAGCAAATGGAAGCAGAAACTCCCTCTGAAGTGATGGCAGCTGCCCTCTGCGAGCAGCAGCAGGATTGCGTTTCTAGGTGTTCAGGAAGACCAGGAAAAATCGTCTTCCCTGAGCCAACCCTGCCTTGTGCTCATCTGGCAGGCAGAGATCTCCATCCCTCACCTGGAATGAGCTGTTTCTGCTCCTTGGTCCAAGGCAGGAGGGCAGGTGTGTGCTCCTGGAAACACCTGGCCAGGAAACTTCCCTTTTCCCAGCTAAGTTAAGACTTAAAATAAAGAAATACCCAACAAGAAGGGGTAAAAAAAGGCAAAACCCAGAAAGGAGGGCAGCTCCACGCCCCACCTGGTGGGATTTTGGGACGAGAAAGAAGAGACAGCATGGGAAGAGGCAGATGGAAGGGACAAGGGGGCAATTCCAGCATGACAAGGGCAATCCCAGCATGGCACTGGGATGCTTGGCACATCCAGTGACACCATCCCAGCCCCAAACCCACGAGGCAGGGCATGCCCATCCCCATCCCAGGGCTGGAAAACAGCCGGGATTCAACAGGATGGGACCCACCTCGTTCGTGCTGAACGCCAAACCCCTCGACATGGGCACCGGGGGGTGCAACAAAGCCGGGCAGCGCCGGGGTGCCGTGACCTCAATAACGCTTCCCCCCACGCGAAATTTAGGGCTGGGCGTGTGCAGCTTTCCCTTTTTAAGATTCGAAACGCTTTTTCGCTACGGTTTCCCATTATTGATTAATCTCCCGTTTTTAATCAGCGCTGCCTCCCCCCTCGAGGCGGCTGCAGAACATGGCCCCGCGCTGCCGCCCCTCCTGCCGCAGCCCCGGCCCCACCTGCCGGGAGGAACGGGGCCGGAACGGGCGCGGAGCGGGGAGAAAGCCGCGAACCCGCCCTTCTCCATCCCTGCATCCATGCCTGCATCCATCCCTGCATCCCTGCATCCATCCCTCCCCGCACCTGCCCCGGGCGCCCGCGCTGCCGCAGGGGCCGCGCCTCTCGCTGCCGCAGCCCCGGGGCGCCGGCACCGGGACACGCCCCTCCCCTCGCTTTTGGGATGAAATCGCCGGATTTGGTTCTCGGGGCTTGATTGATTTTTTTTTTTTTTCCCCTAAATTTATTTTTTTTTTCCTCCCCCCCTTCTCCGCGCGGGACGCGGCGAAGGGAGAGCGCGCCCCGGGGCGGGGGGTTCAGCGCCCCCCCTCCACCCCCATGGCAGCCGCCCCTCTCCCCGTACCTGCCGCTGCGGGGGTGTCCGCACCGGAGCCGGCTGGGTGACAGCGGTGGCGGGTGACGGTGACAGCGGCGGCGCTCGCCCCGCTCCGTTCCGCCGCACGCACCGAATTCCCAACCTCCCCTTCCCCCGGGGGACACCGCCTCGCCCAGCCCTGCCGCCCGCTCCCGTCCCGCTGCCTGCCCGGCACACGCTGCTGCCTCCGGGCACGGCCCTGAGCGCCCGTGGAGATGGCGGCAGCGCGGCTCGTGTGGGAGCGGCCTGCCCTCAGCAGCCTCGGCAGCCCCTCTGGTCTCATCCCTGAAAAATAACACAAACAGCACAACCTTAAAAAAAAAAAAAAAACACATGCAGGAGTTGCCTGTCCTTCACCAGAACCAAACCAGCGGCCGTGCCGGTTTCGTTTCGTCCTGGGGAGCTCCAGGCTGACAAAGGGAGAGCAGCCGCTTCCCACACACGGCGACAGCTCCTACAGTGGAGAGGGACAGGCCACAGAGACATGGAGGGACAGGGCTGGCAGCTCCCGTCGGCTTTGGGCTCTGCTGACACCGGTCAGGAGGAGCAACAGGTGACAGGAGAATGGCCCTGAGCGGCGGGGTTCCCTCACCAGCCTGCCACCAGCCTGGAAATCTGGAAAAACCAGATCCCGGTCCCAAAGGATCGCTCTCGACCTCGCCTGCTTCATCCCGAGCAGCAGTGAGCTGCTTCTGCTCGGCCTGGAAGGGTTGTGGACACAGTGGAGATTGCTCGATGGAATTACTGCCTTGTGTTAAGAGGGTTACTGTCCCTAATAATTGGATTTAATAGAGAAACTGCAGGAGGGTAGGATCCAGTTTTCAGGTTTTCCTGACAAACTCTGAGGTGCAAATCAAGGACGAACATCCAATCTAAGAACAGGCTTTTTGTGAGAGAAACAGATGAGGAACCTGCGGCACCAGGTTCTTCTTAAAGCCTTTTTATCTGTTGTTGCTGGGTATCTCTTTATTTTAAGTCTAACTTAGATGGGCAAAGGGAAGTTTCCTCACCAGGTCTTTCCAGGAGCCCACACGTGCAGCACCAATCTGCTTTTTAAAGCCAACCAGATTGGGAATGGTCCATCTTGGTTTGGGATAAAGATTTATGGAGTGTCAAAGCTCTTCTCTTACTACAGTATCAATAACTGCAGACTTACAGATTAGAATTGTACCCAAAAAAAATTGATTTATGAACATGTAGTTTATGAAACTACATGTTTGTGAAATGAACATTGTTTGTATTCAGGTCAATAGTAATAGACAAGCCATCTAAAACCAGAGGAATGGTTCTTTTCTGCCCATTTTTAAACTGCCTAAAAAGTACTCACTCTAATTTAGCTGGAGAATTTTCCTAGATTAGACACAAAAAATCCTCTTAAAAATCTATCACAGCTTTGGGAATTGTAAAATAAACACTGCAGTGCTACAGGGGGATCCATCCTGGTGAGACAACAGAAAACAATGTGAGTTGCAGTGCAAGCAGCTCGAGCCCAGTCTGGGACAGCAGTTCTTCCAACAGGCCATGTGGGATGTACCAGGAACACCAGGCTGGGGTCAGCTCAGCACCCTCCAACAGGAATATTTCTTCATCTAAAGACAGCAAAACCAAAAGAGACTCTGGGCCTCCTTTCTTGAAGTGCCCAGCATGACAACACCTCTCTTCCTGAAGTTACCTCAGCGCCCACTTTCATCTGCCTGAGCTCTCAGCAAGTCCTGTCTGGATCCAAGAAATCCTGGGCTGGGCAGTGAGGCATCCTTAGCCACATCCAGGCCATTTAGAAGCTCTGTTGGCAAGGCTTAGTCAAGAGTGAAACGCATCAATTGCTGCAGCAACGCCGAGATGTTTCCAGAACTGCTGGAGCAGCCCAAGTCCCAAAGCTCAGCTCGTGGTGATCAGCAGATCCTGCCCCAGCTGAGAGGAACTGCAGAGGAGCTCTCTAAGGACACATCTCTTACCTGTATGTGCAGCAGGCTGACAGCTGATGCAGTTTAATTACTGCACTGAGCTCTTCTGGCTCTTCTTCGTGTTCACAGGGGCTTTTGTTTATTGGAAAAGGGATCTGGGAATTTTTCCTACAGTTCTCAGGCCAGGCTCCTCTTTTCTCCCCACTCCTGGCCCTTACTGCTGCTAGGTGTATACTATTTGAACACAAAATTATAGAGGAATCCTTTAGGGGGGAAACCATGGGGTCTGTATCTTCCATACCTGTTTCTTCATCCCTAAGACCAGGTTTATTTTCCTCCCAGGTGAGGTTTGTCCCCTGTTTCATAACTACCAAGGCATATTTTCCCTGGCAGGTGCCACAGAAGGCAGAACACCAATTCCAGGTCTCACCTGCGGTGGGAATTGACCTGCAGAGCTGCAGCTGCGTTAGAAATTCTGGGTTATATTGGGTTATATTCTGGGTTACACAAGTCTGATGTCCCTAGGGCCTCCTCTGGCCACAAGCTGCTTCATTTGAGTCACTTAATTCAGCTTAAGCCTGGCTTTTGCAAAACCATAATGATCCCAGCTGAAATAAATACTCAAATTCTACACTGGCTTAATTCCATTAAAGCACTACCCAGATCCTTTTGCAACCTGGCGTTAAAGTTCACCTAAACAAAGAAAATGGGCTGATCGCTTTCAAAATGCGATTTTTGAAGTGACCAGACAGGACCGATCCTTCCAGAGACCTTTCCAGAGCGGCTGCGGGTGCTGAGCGAGCAGGGTGCGACCCTTGCCCGGTGAGGAGCCCCGGGCACACGGCCCCAGAGCGGGGCTCGCAGGGCAGGACAGCAGGCGCGTTTCGTAAGCGCCGCGGAGCCGGGAGCAGGCGGCTGGTTACACAAGCGTCCCCCGGCCGTGCCTGCGGTGTCACGGCAGGACAGACCGGGCAGGGCTCACGCGAACCGCGGGACGCTGCGGCTCAGGAGGGGGTGAAAAACGCCAGTCACTTGGGTTTGAAATTTTAAAAGTTTAATAGTAATAAAATTGTTATAAAATAATAATGTAATTAGAATAATAAAATTTGAACATTTGAGGTTAGGACAATATGAGACAATAAAACAAAGAGATACGGATGTCCCGGTACCTTTTTCTGGGCAACACAAGCCCGAAAAAGGACCCCCGTTAACAGAGGATTAACCCTTAAAAACAATCGCCTGTTGCATATTCACACATCTCATACATGATACATAAATTCCATTCAAACACAGGATTCTGTCTGGTCACTGTCAGCTTCTTCCTCTTAATCCTGATGCCATCTTCCCGTCTGAGCGAGGTGGGAAGAAGTTCGTTTTCTGCTGATAAGGGAGCAATAAATTCCCTTTTTCTGAAAGATTTAGATGTCCTGCAGCCGCCATCTGGTGAGAGCCCCTCCTTCCTTTCTAAACATTCCACATACATAGTTCCTATTTTAACAACAAAAGCTACCTTTTTGCTATGAAACTACATTTACCATAGTATTAAAATGTTAATACAGCACTACTCCATACAACTTAATGTGCATAGTAAATATCTGCATAGAGCCATTTAATATGCATTTTTCACAGGGGGTTACAGCTCTGCTGGATCCTTCCCCGCAAACCAGACACGTCTTCCCACTTGGACACGGTTCTCTCCAGCTGAAGTAACTGTTCATGCTCAGTAATGGGAGCACGGTGCGCCCTCACCAGCCTGCCAAGGCCAGCGGGGCTGCGAGGATGTGAACTGGGACAGAAAGGATCCCTGCAGGCGGCCAGCGGGCCGTGACTCAGCACAAGGAGCCAGCCAGGTCCTCGGAATAAACAAACTCACCCCTTCACCCTGACCTCTTTAGCAAATGAAGAGGCCCAAAAATATCGAGGTCAAGGCGCTTAAACCATCTTTCAGTGGTCCCTCTTGACCCCACCCCATCTGAAAAAACATCATTCCTGTCTCTTTTCAGCTGTGCGGAAGCCACAAAAAGCCAACACCTAAACCAGAAGATACAAGACTCAATACCCCTAAGGAGAGATATATTTTTAATTAATCATTATTCCATTTCTGAATTACAAGCTGCAAGATGCTTTCAGCTCATTGAAAGCCCGTGTGTCTAAGAGGCAGAGCTGACTCATCAGGGAGGCACAGGATGTGTTCACTTACGGGACCTTGTGGGAATTACCAGGCTCCTGGGCTCACATCACTTAAAGCCAAGATTCCCTTAGACCTGGTGTCATGGAAGGGCAGTTCCCAGCACTGGCTTCCCCCTTCACTGACAATTCTCAGGAGCCAGGAGGGACTTTATTCCTGCAGGAGAGCAGCCACCAGAGCTCCGCCAGCTCTACAAAGGGACAGGGAGCATCTCTGTGGGTGAAACAGGCTCCATTCCAAACACCCTGGGACTGCAGACTGAGCCCTGAACTGCTCCTGCTCCGGTCCAAACGCCCTGGGAGTGCAGGCTGACCCCTGAGCTGCTCCTGCTCCGGTCCAAACGCCCTGGGAGTGCAGGCTGACCCCTGAGCTGCTCCTGCTCCGGTCCAAACGCCCTGGGAGTGCAGGCTGACCCCTGAGCTGCTCCTGCTCCGTTCCAAACACCCTGGGAGTGCAGACTGAGCCCTGAACTGCTCCTGCTCCATTCCAAACACCCTGGGACTGCAGACTGAGCCCTGAACTGCTCCTGTTCAGGAGGCAGAGGCTGCTCTGGCACCTGCACACCACCTGTCCTTGAGTACTGTGTCCTTCCCACAGGATGGCACTCACCGAGGGGCAGCAGGGCAGGATTTACCCTGGCGTTTGCCAGGGCAAGAGTTCAGCCGGCTCTGAGGCAGGGATTGCATCATGCAGCACCACAGCAGTGATGTTGTCACCCAAACGAGTCACCAGGAACTCTGGCCTGCGGGACTTTCCTGGAGGACGCTCCGCTGGAGGTGACATCTCATCCCAGCCCCGCAGCCCCGGCTCTGCTGCCCGCGGGGCCGGGGGTCCGTGCGGGTTTCCGAGGGGCTTCGGGAGCCATCTGCTGTCATCAGCCCACATTACAGCGAGGGGCTGCCGGGCATCAGAAGGGCTCTGCTCCCTCCCACCCGCGCACGGATGAGTTTGAACCGCCTCCCCAGAATCACTGCGGTTGGAAAAGAGCTCCAAGATCAACCTGTGAGCGATCCCCACCTTGTCAACCAGACCAGAGCACTGAGTGCCTTGTTGGGTCATTCCCTGGACACCTCCAGGGATGGAGACTCCAGCACCTCCCTGGGCAGCCCCTGCCAATGTCTAACCACCCTTTCAGTGAAGAAACTCCTCCCGAGAAAATACCCAAATTTAACTACAAGCAGAAATAAGAGCCCCTCAGGGAGATCACCACCTCACCCAGAAGGACTGGGGGTTCTCCATAGGAAACACAGTGCTTCCAACACAAGGACTCCACTTGAGGGTCTGCACTGAGCAGAGAGGGGGTTCCAGCCCCCCAGACCCATCGGGTGCTGGCATTAACCCCAGCTCTCCCAGGCCCAGGTGAAAGTGGCAGGGCACTCACCCCCTGCTCAGAGAGCCTGGCAGAGCTGCAGGGAGGACAGGGACACGCTGGGTGCTCGCTTGCTTTGGGAACTGAGAGGCTTTGTTCCTCTGCAGCAGCAGGGTGGCACTGGGCCTGGCACGGCACTGTGCCCGTGTCCCAGCCTGCCACTGCAGCAGCAGGGTGGCACTGGGCCTGGCACGGCACCGTGCCCGTGTCCCAGCCTGCCGCTGGCCCGGCGTGACGAGTGTGAGCCACACCAGAATGTGCAACCGCCGTGGGCTCAGTGAGTGTGCAAGGCACAGCCCTCTGCCAGTGTAGGGTGTGAGTGTGAGTGTGCAAGGTGGGCCCCTCTGTCAGCACCGTGAGTGTGTAGGGCACGTCTTTCTCCAGCATGGTGAGTGTGCAAGGTACATACAAGGTGTGTGCCAGGTGTATACAGGGTGTTTGTGTTCCGGGTGTCTGTGTACAACGTGTCTGTGTTCCAGGTGTTCATGTGTTCCAGGTGTGTCTGTATCCCAGGTGTGTCTGTATTCCAGGTGTATCTATCCCAGGTGTATCTATCCCAGGTGTTTATGTGTCCCAGGTGTTCCTGTATTCCTGGTGTTCATGTGTCCCAGGTGTTTCATGTGTTCCAGGTGTTTTCCAGGTGTGTCTGTATCCCAGGTGTGTCTGTATTCCAGGTGTATCTATCCCAGGTGTTTATGTGTTCCAGGTGTTTTCCAGGTGTGTCTGTGTCCCAGGTGTTTATGTGTTCCAGGTGTTTTCCAGGTGTGTCTGTATCCCAGGTGTTCATGTGTTCTCCAGATGTTTCCCAGGTGTTTCCCAGATGTTTTCCAGGCGTTTCCCAGGCGTTTCCCAGGCGTTTCTCAGGCGTTTCCCAGATGTTTTCCAGGTGTTTTCCATGTGTTTCCCAGGCGTTTCCCAGGCGTTTCCCAGGTGTTTCCCAGGTGTTTCCCAGGTGTTTTCCAGGTGTTTTCCAGGTGTTTTCCAGGCGTTTCCCAGTCGTTTCCCAGGTGTTTTCCATGTGTTTCCCAGGTGTTTTCCAGGTGTTTCCCGCTGTTTCAGGCGCCGCGCCCCCCCGGGCCGGCAGGGGGCGCCGTGGCGCGCGGGGCGCAGCGCGCGTGCGCGGGGCGGGGCGGGCGGAAGCGCGGCCGAGGGCGAGGGGCGCCCATGGGGCTCCTTAAAGGCGCCGCCGGCGCGGAGCCGCCTCCCGGTCCCGGAGGGACGCGCCAAGCCTGGCTGGAATGAGCAGGTGGGGCGGAACCCCCGGCACTTCCCCCGGCACCCCGTCCCCCCACGTCATCCCCCTCGTGGCCCGGCACGCGTGACCGCTGCCTCAGTTTCCCCCGGTGTCGGGGGTGGTGCGGCGGCGGAGGGCGTGGAGGCGGCCGCGGGGACCCCCGGGGTCCCCTCCCGGGGAGGGGGCGCACCCCGAGGCTGCCGGGGCTGCGGATGCTGCGAGAGGGAGGTGTGGGGCCAGGGGAGGGGGCTGCATACCCCGTGGAGGGGGCACAGCCCTGGGCGGGGGGCTCCGAGCCCCCATGGGGGGCACAGACCCCTCAGGGGGCTCAGGCTCCGGGCAGAGGGGCAGGAACCGCGCAGGGGCTCGGGCTCCGGGATGGGGGGCTGCCCCGCCGGGGGTCCCTAGGGCAGAGGGCCAGGCTGCCTGGGGGACCCTGCAGCGCTGTCCCCAGCTCCTGGGGACCCCGCAGCCCTGTCCCCCGCTCCTGGGGACACACCACAGCCCTGTCCCCATCTCCTGGGGACCCCGCAGCCCTGTCCCCAGCTCCTGGGGACCCTGCAGCCCTGTCCCCCGCTCCTGGGGACCCCGCAGCCCTGTCCCCCGCTCCTGGGGACCCTGCAGCACTGTCCCCAGCTCCTGGGGACACACCACAGCACTGTCCCGCTCCTGGGGACGCACCACAGCACTGTCCCCATCTCCTGGGGACCCCGCAGCCCTGTCCCCATCTCCTGGGGACCCCGCAGCCCTGTCCCCCGCTCCTGGGGACCCCGCAGCCCTGTCCCCCGCTCCTGGGGACGCACCACAGCACTGTCCCCATCTCCTGGGGACCCCGCAGCCCTGTCCCCATCTCCTGGGGACCCCGCAGCCCTGTCCCCCGCTCCTGGGGACCCCGCAGCCCTGTCCCCCGCTCCTGGGGACCCTGCAGCACTGTCCCCAGCTCCTGGGGACACACCACAGCACTGTCCCCATCTCCTGGGGACCCCGCAGTGCTGTCCCCCGCTGACACTCCGGGCAGAGCAGGGCTCTGGGTTTAGGGATATTTTCTCCTGCACGGAAAAGGGAGCAGCTCCCAGCTGGGAGGGGAGCTTGGGTACAAGCAGGAGGCCCCGGAGGTGCCCCAGCTCCAGCAGAGGGGCTGTGCCACGCTAAGGAGGGAGTTTATCAGGCGGGGCAGAGCTGGGAGCAAGAGATTTCCCCTGGCTTGCGTCAGGCCGAGCAGCAGGGCTGGGCCAGGGAGGATCCCCAGGCAGCGCCCTGCCCGTGGCACGGTTTTGCAGTGGCTGTGGGTCTGTGGGGCACGTGCCACGCTGCCCTGCCGGGATGGGCACGCCGTGCCCGAGGAGCACCCAGGTGGGTGTGGGTTCAGGACAGCCCAGCTCCCTGTGGGGCTGGCACATGTGCAGGGCTGGCGTAGATCCAGCTCTCCTTGGGGCTGGTGCCCGTGCCAGCACGGACCCAGCTCCCTGGGGGGCTGGCACGTGTGGCTTCAGCATAGACCTGTCCCAACTTGCAGCCTTGGTCACCCAACAATTCCAGAGCCCGCAGAGATTTATGACTCCTCTGACCTTGCAAATCGATGAGTCAGGCGGTGAAGGTTTTTTGCTGCATTCCCAGGCTTTAAAGAACCCTGTGGGTTCCCAAAGGCTGGAAGCTCTCCTGCTGTGGCCCTGTCCCAGCATGACAATGATCCCCAGGCTGTAGCGAGAGGGAGCAGCTGGTGCTGCGTGTGCTGAGGGTCACTTCTCCACATCCTTGTCCTGGGAAGGGTGTGATATCCCCTGCTTCCCGAGGGCAGCACACCAGCCCTGGGGGCTGCAGCCTTGCCAAGCCCGTCATACAGGAGGTTTCAGATGCCTAAACCCTTCTTGGGATTCTTGTTGCAAACAAGAAGGGATCTCCCCCTGCCTGGTGTCCTGCCGTGGCTGCACTGGGCTCTGCTGCCGTCCCAGCCAGAGCTGGGGGCGGCTGTCACAGCATGGCTGCTCTTTGGACTTTGTTCCTTCCTTTCCTTAATTTTCCGAGTGCAGGGAGGGGACAGTCCTCCTTCCCCAAGGACATGGAAGGCTGGACTGTCTCCACCTCTCCAGCCAGGCTGGGCCTGCTGCCACCGTGGGGCCAGGGGGTGTTATCAGGGCTGGGCTGCCCCAGGAGCCAGTCCCTGCCACCCCCCAGGACACCCTGATTATGGGGGGCCCTCGCCTGCCGTGTGCTGCAGCGATAGCACAGCGCCCGTGGGACACCTGGGGGACACTCTGCTGGAGTGGGGATGCTGGGGGGGCTCCCAGGGGACCTCATCCCTGAGCAGGGACCCCCCAGCCTCCAGCATCCCCTGCCCTGCATTGCAGGGGGACAGTGCCATGGCTGAGAAGATGCCACCGAGCCCCGGCGGGGGCATCACGCCACTGCAGCAGATGCTGGCCTCGGGGACAGGTGCCATCCTCACCTCCCTCTTCGGTGAGTGTGGTGGGGTGGGGGCTGGCAGGGGGGTGTCCTGGCTAAGGGCTGGCCCGGGGGTGTCCTGGCTAAGGGCTGGCACGGGGGTGTCATGGCTAAGGGACCATGTCTTTGTAGTGACGCCGCTGGACGTGGTGAAGATCCGGCTGCAGGCCCAGAGGACCCCCTTCTCCAAAGGTAACCCTGCTCGGGGCAGGGCAGGGGGCTGCAGCCGGCCCCCCTGGCCAGCAGCCCACGGGGGTGGCTCAGCTGGCAGAGCTGGTGGCAGGGATGTCTCTGCTCTGCAGCGTGGGGCCATTGCAAGGTGGCAGGTTACCGTGGGCCCCTCGTCCTCACGGGCCCGGGGGCCCTGCTGGGGAAGCTGGGCTGGTGCTTGGCTCTGTCCTTCCCCCTCTGCTGCCCGGTGCCAAGGGGGTCAGCGCAGTGCCTGGCAGCCCCCAGCCCACCAGGCCCAGCCTGCTGAGCTGCTGGCTGTTCCCCCACTGCCTTTGTTCCAGTCTCCATGCCACTCCCCTTGGCTCTGCCCCTTCCTGTGGGGTCACCGGGCTGGGGCTGACCACAAGGGACTGGTTTGGTGACAATAGGAACTGCTTGGGACGTGGCTGTTGGGGCATGCAGGCACCCACAGAGTGGAGAGCTGTAGCAGCCCAGCCCTGGGAGGTGGCGTGTCCCCTGTGTGGTTGCTCAGTGTGTCCCCATTGTGTGTTTCAGTGTTGGCAGCGCAGTCAGTGCCCTGGGGCGCTCAGCCGGCCACATGTGAGTACGCCAGGGGCTCCTGCTGCCAGTGCCTTTGCTTTCCCAAGCCTTCATCCTGGTTTGCTTCTCCACTGGTGGTGGCTTGGGCTCCTCTGGCTGTGGGGACATCCCTGCGCTGTGGGGGCTGACACTGTCCCCCTGCAGCCCTGCTTTGGGGCTGGCTGTGCCACATCTATGGGGATCTGTTGTGCAGCCACCCTGGCTGGCTGTGGTCTTGTTGCTGTCCTGTTGCCACATCAGAGTCCCCTTGGATTTCTACTGCCTGGTGTCCCTTGAGAGCTTGAGAGCACAGCAGAGGGGCCAGTGCTGATGCCCCCACTGTGCCAGGGCAGCAGAGCCAAGACCAGGTGAGGCATAAACCCTCTCCCATTGCTGGCAGTGGGTGCTGCTGTATCCCCATCGCTGCCATGGAGCTGGGTGTGCCCATCCCTGTCCTGGCCACGATCAGACCCTTGCTGGAGGGTTGTTCCTCTCCTGGCCTTGGTCTCAGACTGGTGCCCTGAGGGTTTGGCTCCTTCCTGGAAGATGTGACAGCTTTGGGATCAGATGTGCAGGGCATGGGCAGAGGGGAAGGGTCTCCTGTGTAATGGCAGTGCTGTTGTTTCCTGCCTCAGGGAAGTGTTTCCTCTACTGCAATGGGCTCATGGACCACCTGTACGTGTGCCAGAACGGCAACGGCTGCACCGCCTGGTACAAGGCCCCCGGCCACTTCACTGGCACACTGGTAGGAGCTCCAGGCATGGCCAGGGGCCTCCCACCCCTGAGCGGTGTTGGGCTGTTTTCTGGGGGCTTGTTTGTCCTTCTGGCACCTGTAACTGCTGTCCCTGGTGCTGCGCTCTCTCCCCAGGATGCCTTTGTGAAGATCACGCGCCATGAGGGCATCAGATCTCTGTGGAGCGGCTTGCCCCCCACCCTGTGAGTTTGGGGATTCTGGCTGCTGCCACCTGCCCAGCCACACAGTCTTATGTCCCAAGCCCCCTGCCAGCCCCAGGGAGGACATGTGCCCCTCACTGCCCTTCTCCTCACAGGGTCATGGCCGTGCCAGCCACCGTCATTTACTTCACCACCTACGACCAGCTCCGGGACTACCTGCACGCCCGGATGGGGAGCTGGAACCACTCCATCCCCTTGCTGGCTGGGGCCCTTGCCAGGCGTGAGTACCCCTCCTCTCTGGGGTCCCTGGCAGTGGTCTCAGTGCCCACATTCAGTGCCTGGCTCTCCTGGCACGGTGCTGATGGCTCTGGCACGGCCGCTGGAGCGCACAGAGCTCATTCCCCGTGTCCCTCTTGCGTTGCAGTGGGTGCTGTGACAGTCATCAGCCCCCTGGAGCTGATCCGCACCAAGATGCAGTCCCAGCAGCTCAGCTACCGCGAGCTGCGCGTCTGCATCCGGTCAGCAGTGGCCCAGGATGGGTGGCTGTCCCTCTGGCGAGGCTGGGGACCCACCGTGCTGCGGGACGTCCCCTTCTCGGGTATGCCTGGGGGTGTGCTGGGGCATGGGGGGCTCAGGGCAGCCCGTGCTGCTCGGGGGGTGCCCGGTGGTAGCACTGGTGTCTCCTCTCCCCAGCTCTGTACTGGTTTAACTACGAGCTGGTGAGGACGTGGCTCTGCAGGCAGGCCTGGCTGGACGGGGCCACCTTCATGGTCAGCTTCGTGTCCGGGGCCATCTCTGGCACGGTGAGTTTGGGATTCTGGGGCTCCTGTTGGGGGTTGGCGTCTGTAGGAGGGAGGATGGGGCTGGGATGGTGCTGGGAGGTGAGAACAGAGCTGGCACTGGGCAGGAGCCCCAGTTCTGGCTCACATCCAGTGCCAACCCCACAGGTGGCCGCGGTGCTGACGCTGCCCTTCGACGTGGTCAAAACCCAGCGGCAGATCGAGCTGGGAGACAGTGAGGTGCACCCAGGTGAGGGGCCAGGCTCCAGGCTGGTGCCTGGGGGGCATCCAGCACTCCCCACGGGTGTCCCCCAGCCCTGACCTGCTCCCCTCTCCCCGCAGTCACAGCCTCCAAGCCTTCCTCCACCTGGCTGCTCATGCAGCGGATCCGCGCCGAGTCTGGCACCCGGGGGCTGTTTGCAGGTGAGGCTGTGCCCTGGCTGTGCTGAGGTTCTGGGTGCCCTGGTGTCACCCCAGGGCTCACGGCGCTGTCCTTGCAGGGTTCCTGCCCCGTGTCATCAAGGTGGCACCTGCCTGCGCCATCATGATCAGCACCTATGAATTTGGCAAGAGCTTCTTCCAGAAGCTGAACCAGGAGCAGCAGCTGCGAGGGGGATTGTGAGCAGGCCTGGGGCAGGGCTGGACGTGGCCATGCCCAGGGGACAGTGCCAGCCCTGCTCCAGCCAGTGTCCCAGGAGTGGTGATCCACACTCGGCTGTGCAGAGCCCAAGTGCCTTCGTTCCTGCTCTGCCTCCCGCTGCCTGCACACGGAGCCAGGGCCAGCCTGGCCTCACCCCTGTCCCAGCCACGCTGGGGGACATCTGTGCCTGCTGCTGTGACACTGGGGGGGATATGGAGCCCCCTGCACCCATCCCTTGGGGCTGGACAGATGTTGCTGCTGGAATCGTGGACGCTCTCTCAAGGATGGCGTGTCCCAGGAGACTTGGCCTGGCAGGAGATGGAGCTGGGGCTCTGGCAAGGACCAAACCCAGACCTCGGGGGCTTCTCTGCCTGCCTGCGCCCCCCAGCCCTGCTCTGCCTGGGGATCTGCCCCTCCTGACCATCGCTCACCCACAGCCTCGCCTTGCTGGCTCTGCATGGCATGGGGGCACGTCAGGACCCTCTCCCTGCCTCTGGACCTCTCCTCCCACTCGGGATGTCCCCAGACCCTGTGTGGGGACAGACCTCACTGCTGCTTGGGGGGCCATTGTGGCACCCCTGCCCCATCCTTTCACTGCAAGGGCCTGCCCCAGCTCTGCGGGCACTGCCCCCGTTACCCCAGGACTCATGGAGGGAATTTCTCCTAATTTCTTAAATAAAATAATTGTCTCTTAGTGGAAGGATATCTCTCTGTGTGCTGGGGGGCTGTAGAGACACCTTTGGGGTTACAGCCATGGCCCCTGCCCCGAGGGGCTGCAGGAGGCTCACTGGGTGCCCCCAAATCCTTGCCTGGGCCAGGACCTTGTGGCAGGGGGGCGCAAGGGGTCTGTTCCCCTCTGGGGAGGTGGGTGACAGGCCAGCTCTGCTTGCTGCGTTTATTGATTCCTTTTGCTCCAACAAGGCAGATGGGGCTGAAATAAAAACCAAAATCACCCAAAACAACCCAAAACCCAGGGGAAGGATGGGGAGGAAGGGGGAAGAAGAGTCCTCCCCCCTGTTGTGGGGATGCTGCTGCAAGGGGGGCAGGCACCCCCCCACAGTGCAGGGGAGCCGGGGGAGGCCAGGTAGGCACACCTGGGTGGGCACCAAGGGCCACGCCAGACCCTCACCCCTGGAAGGGGCCTGGCCCCGACCCCCCCTTGCTCCCTCCCAGTGTCCCCCCCTCCCCGTGGCACAGTTCATTCCCCCCAGCCCTGCACCCCCATCCCTACAGGTCCGTGTCTCCAGCCAGGGCCAGGCTGGGGGGCCGAGGCGCAGCCGGGGTGGGGTCTCAAGGTGGGGAGGGGGATGCCATCCCCGGCCTCCCCGGTGGCAGGGCGTGTCCCTCGTTGGTCCCGGGGTGGCGAGGGGGGCCGGGCTCAGTCCGGTGCCGTCACGCTGGGCCGGGGGGCGGCGCGGGGGCCGGGGGTCTCAGCTGGGGCTGCGGGTCGGGCTGGCTTCCGTGCTGTCGCTCACCAGGCACTCGTTGGACTTGAGGCTGGCCAGGGACTTGCAGCTGGGCAGGGAGGCCAGGGAGCCGCAGAGCCCCAGCATGGAGGGCGTGGGGTCCTTCCCTGCGGGCAGAGAGGGGCGTCACGGGGGGCTCGGCCTCGTCTCCCAGCCCTGCCACCCCGGGGGGACAGCGACCACCTCTGCGGGGGCTGCTGGGTGTCCCTGCACTGCTGGGGCAGCATCCCAACCATGGGGAGGGGGCTGCTGGTGGCTCCTGACACCCAGGTGTGTGTGGGGAGATGTGCTGAGCCCCGGGGGCGCCCTAGGGTGGGTGGGGGGTCTTACCCAAGGGCCCCCAGGGCTCCCCTTCGCGCTTGCCCTCGCCCAGGCGCTGGGAGTCGGAGCTGAGGCTGTTCTCGGCCGAGAGCTGGTCGGTGCTCACGAAGCTGTGCCTGCAGAGGGACAGCTCTGAGCCCCCCCGGGGCTGGCGCAGCTCTTCTGCCCCTCCCGCACCCCGTGTCCCCCCCGGGCTAGGGCAGGGTGCTCTGGCAGGTCTCTGTCCCCTCTGTGAGCTTGCCTTCTGTAGAGTTTGCTGTCCGAGCCGCTCTCGTTGCCATTGAGGGTCCCCAGGGAGGGCCACTGGTTGACCAGGGGTGTCACCATCTCCTTGGAGAGCTGGGCCAGCTGTGGGTTCTCGCAGGGGATCAGCCCCGTCCTGCAGCAAAGGGTGGCAGGACGTGTCACCTGGCACAGCCACCAGTGCTGGGGACCCGCCAGGTGACACTGGGGACAGCCAGGCTCCAGGGACCCCCTGCCCCCCCGAGCCCCCCGGCCGTGGCAGGGGGTCCCCACTCACAGCTGCTCCTGCAGCTCCAGGATGACGCCCTCCAGCTCCCTCTTCTCCAGCTGGTTCTGCACCATCACCTCCTCCAGCCGCAGCTTCAGCCGCTTGTTCTCCGCCTCCAGGTCCTTCAGCTGCGACTCCCGCAGCCTCACCAGCTCCTCCAGGTACCCCTGAGTGAGGCCACCGTCAGTGGTGCCCTGCTGCCACCACCCCCAGTGTCCCCAGGGCCCTCCAGAGTGACAGGGAGCGGGCTGGGTCACCGCAGCAGCAGGATGAAGGGCTGAGGGTGCCTCTGAGGCAGAGATGCTCCAGGCTGGAGCGTCCTGGGGAAGGTGATACCCTGATGGCCCCAGTCTGGTACCTTTTGGGCATAAACAATGCGGAATTTCTGCTCCATCTTGCGCCACTTGTTGTACCAGCTGTCCTCGTCGGTGACCAGGGGCAGGTAGGGGTGCTCAGGTGAGCTGTCCTCGCTCGTGCTGCTCTCCACACTGCCCCGCTCCTCCTCCTCGCTCAGGTAGTCATAGCTGGGGGGTGGGGGGGCTCAGCAGGGGCTGTCAGGGGTTCAGGGAGCCCCACCGTGGTGCTGGGGGAGAGACAGGGGGGTCCCCACCCCAGGAAGGGCACCCCAGCTCCTACCTCTGCGTGAACTTCAGGTAGGGCGTGTAGTCAATGACCACGGGCGTTTTACCGTCCATCACCTCTCCCTTCAGGCAGAAGCTGAGCAGAGGCAGGGGGAGAAGAAGGTCAGGGAACCCCCAGGCTGTCAGTGAGGGCCCGTGTCCCTCTGTGTCACCTGTCCCTACCTGAAGTCGATGGCGCTGAGCCCGATGAGCATCCCCGTGAGCACCGTGGACTCCTCGCGCAGCATGATGGCCCCATCATCGTAAAACCTCCTGCGGGGAGCACGCGGCTGGGTGTGCCCCCCCGGCTCCCCAAAACCCACCCCGGCACCCCAAAACCCACCCCGGCACACCCACACACCCCGGTGCAGGCGTGGCCACGGGGGCTGCTCACCTGGTGGTCCGAGTGTCCCGCAGGGCCGTGGAGATGTACTCGGACATTCGCTTCTCCATCAGCGCCACGCGGATCCAGGCCCGGCCCTGCGAGGCAGTCCTGAGGGTGGGGGCTGCCTCGGGGGGTCCCCACCTCCCACCCACCCCCAGCACTCTGCTCCCCACACTGGAGCGGCTTTCAGCCTGTTTTTGGGTACCGTGGGGACCCACGGCTGCCGTTGAGTCCCAAGGGGCCCTGTGGTGTGGGATGGAGCTGCAGGAGGGCAGGGGAAGGTGGGGACACAGAGGGGTGAGGATGAGGATGGGTTGGGATCGGGATGTAAATGGGATGGGAATGTCGATGGGTCCATGTGCCAGGGTCAGGGTGGAGGGAATGGAAACAGGGGCAGGCATAGAAATGGGGATGGGGATGGGGACAGGGACAGGACTGGTGCCTTCCTGACCTTGGCCCTGGAGGTGCTGATGTTCTCCATGTTCTCGATGCTGCTGACGCAGTTGTTGGGCACCTTGCTGCAGGCCAGGCGGATGTAATCCCAAAACCCGCGCTGTCCATCCGAGCTGAACCAGCTGACAGGGCCTGCGGGCACCCACGGGCTGCTCAGGGGCCAGCAGAGCCCCTCCAGCAGAGCTGCACGCCCTTCCTGGTGCCAGCACGTGCGTCCCCATCCGCCACGGGACACGGGGCCAGGCCTGGGGGCCACCCCTACCTTTGAAGCGGTGGCTGAGGATCTGCTCGAGGATGGCGGCGAAGTTAACGAACTCCTCGGAGGAGTCGTCGATGGGATCCGCCGTGTACTTCTCCAGAAGGGTCTTCACCGAGAACCTGCCGCGGGGACATCGTCACGGCCGGGGCGGGGGCACGCGCGCCCAGCCCTGGCACACGTCAGGGCTCAGCAAAGCGCTTTCCCAGCTGTTGGCTCCTGCTCCCGGCAGCGGGAAGAGGGCGTCGGGCTGGGCTGTGGCGCGGTGACCCCCCTGTCCCCGCGTCCCCGGGGACCCCGAGGGGCGGCCGCTGCTCCCCGCCGCGCAAGTGGCCAGGAAGGGCGAACAAAGGCCCCCTTCCTCCCGGCCGTGCGCGGGCGGTGATGGCTTCCCCTTCCGCCCGGCCGCTCGTGCTCGGGGCACAGCGACGCCGAGGACGCGGCCGCGGAGCCAGGACAGGGTGGGACGGGGCAGGTGTTTGCCTGGGGGGCATCGCCCCCTCCGTGGGGTCTGGGGGTCACAGCTGCAGGGGGATCCCCCTGGCAGCGGGTGGAGGGTGTGCCATGGTGGCGCTGGGGTCTGGGGGTGCCTCGTGGCACAGCCGTGAGGGCTGCCCGCGTCCTGGTGGAGATCCTCAGGGTCTCCATGTGGTGACAATGGGGTCTTTAGATGGCCCATGCCATGGCAAGAAGATGCATTGGGTCCCCATGTCATGGCAGCGGGGTCTGGAGGTGCCCCGTGCCACGCCAAGGAGCCCTGGGGTCCCCAGACCCCAACATGAGGCCCTGGGGGTCGCTGCCAGGTTGCCCAGGCCCTGGTACCCCCCACATCCCCCCAGCCCTGGGCCAGGCTCCAGCGCTCCCAGCACCAGCAGCCCCTCACCAGACCCCCGGGGGGGTGTCCCCCCACCCCCGCACCCCGGCAGGACCCACCACCGCTTCTCCCCCGCTCCCGCCCCCCATTTTGCGGTGCCCCCCACCTGCAGACGGTGATGAGGTTTTTCCTCTCCACGGCGATGTTCCTGGAGGAAGCCTTCTTGGAGGAGAGCCCCAGAGCCATGGCAGCCGGCACCCAGCTCGCTTCCATCCAGCGGCCCAGGCGCCGCGGCCGCGGGCGATGCCCCTTCCCCCCGCGGGGACCCCCCCGGCCCCCCGCGCCGCGCAGGCTTTGCTCCGCCGGTGCCCACGCCACGGGCCGTGCGCCGCCCGCCCCCCCAAAGGGATGCTCTCCCCGCCCCCGGCCCCCCAAATCGCTCTCCGGGGGATGGGGGGGGTCCGGAGTCCCGCGGGGGTCCCCGGCTGTCCCTCCCGACATGCTCGGGGACCCCGTGGGTGAAGCACCCCCCGCGGTTTTGGGGTTTTGGGGGGGTCTTTGGACCTCTCCGGGCTCAGAGCATCACCCCCTGCCTTGCTCTGCCTCCATCCTCGTTTTTGGGGGGCTGAGCATCACCCCCAGCCCCCCCCGAGGGGTCTGCGGGGGGCGAGGGACCCCCCTCATGGGGATGGGTGGGGGCTGGCCGTGCTGAGGGGCAACCCCCCCACCCCCGTTCTTCACCGTGCCTCAGTTTCCCCGTTGTTGTGACAGAGAAATCGAGGAGGGGCTGGCGGATCCCACCGCGGCCCCGTAAACCTGCACAGCCCCCGGATAAATCAGAGCCACCCTCAGCACACAGACACCCCCCGGGGGACATGTGCCACCTCCTGTGCCCACCGGGGTGCCACACGCCCGCTCTGCCCCCGCCATGGGGTCTCAGCTGGGGGACAGGTGGGCACAGCGCGGGGAGGGACCCCCAAAATCCTCCCGGGCAGGGAGGGGAGCCCTTGGCAGTGCCCAGATAAGGCCGGGGCCGTTATCGGGACACCCAGAGCCAGCACCACCCCTCCGAGGGTGCCACCAGGTCCCCAACGTGTCCCCAGGCTGGACGGGCCCCCAGGCACAGTGGGGACAGCTCCGGTGCCACCTCACTGCGGGGGGACCCTGTGGGAGTCCCCAGGTAGCGGGGCTGGCATGGGATTGTGTGTGTGCACAGGTGAGTGTGCACAGGTGTGTGTGTGTGTGTGCGTGTGCAAGGCTCACCCACCTCGCCCTGAGATTGGGATTTTGGGGCTGAAATCCTTTTTGGGGATATAAATGTAGCGACACACACGTGTGTGTGTGTGCACACACGTCCTCAGGTGTGAGCACAGGTGTGCACGGGGCCGTGTGCCCCTCACACACACACACACACACAGAGGTGTGCCCACGGCGGGGCACCAACGCAGGGCACGCTCCCCTGCCCTCCTGCAAGCGTGCCACCCCGGTGCCACCATGGCACAGACGGACACCCCGGCCCCGCGTCCCCCCCGCGCCTCCTCCGGGAACCTCCCCAGGAACCCCCTTTTTTTTTAATTTTTTTTTTTTTAAAGAGAACACCCCAACCCCGCGGAAAGGGGGGGACAACCGGGGGGATCCCGGGGATTCCCTGCAGGGAAACCCGAGGTAAACAAGATTGGGGGGACGGGGGGGAGGCAGCGGGTCCTGTCCGGGGCTCCGGGCTGGGTGAGGGACGGGGCAGAGCGGGGCGCAGGCGGGGCTTCACAGCTGCTGCAGATGTTGCACCCCGATAACCTTGTTTTTACGGGGGGCCCGGGGGGGGGCCGGGTGAGCCCGAGGGGGGCAAGATTAGGGAGGTGAGCGTGACTCAGGCGTCGGCGCCTCACACCCCGGGCAGCCGCAGAGAGAGCGCCAGGGGCGTCGGAGCCACCCCAGGGGTAGGTGCGGGGTCACCTCGGGGTGGCCCTGGGGGTGGCCCGGGGTGGGGGGGGGGGTGGCGGGGCTGGGAGGGCACCCTGGGCTGCCCCCGGGGCGGTCAGGGGGGTGTTGGGGTGGGATGGGAGATAGGGGCTCCATAGGGAGCCAGAGGGGCACAGGGGGTGGGTGCCAGCCGTGGGGTGTGGGTTCCACAGGGAGCACCAGAGGGGTGCCAGCCGTGGGGTGTGGGATGTATGGGCTCCATAGGGAGCACCAGAGATGTCCCAGCCATGGGGTGTGGGATGTATGGGCTCCATAGGGAGCACCAGAGGTGTCCCAGCTGTGGAGTGTAGGATTTATGGACTCCGCAGGGAGCACCAGAGATGTCCCAGCCGTGCGATGTGGATGGCCTGGGATGTGTGGGCTCCATGCCGAGCCGTGCTGGGCACCTGCGGGATGAAAGATCCCAGCCCTGCCGCACGGATGGCGTGGGATGTATGGAGTCCATAGGGAGCCGTGGGGCTGTACCCATGCTGAGGGGATGGTTTGGGGTGTGCTGACGAGGCAGGAGGGATCCCGGCCATCCCTCATGGGCGGTGTGGGACGTGAGGGCTCCACAGAGCCCTGGTGGCCGCAGGGAGGATCCCGGTGGCCGTGCGGGGAGTGCGGGCTCCGTGCTGAGCCGTGCCGGGAATTTGGGGCAGGAGGGGCGACCCCATGGCATTATACCCACTGAGGGGGACCCCACGGGGCTGTACCCAGCGGGGGGGACCCCAGCCGTGCCCCGGCTGCTGAGGGGTGTGTGACCCCACGGGTCCTTGCTGGCTGTGCGCTGTGGGGGCCGCGGGCTCATCCCGCGCACACGATGCGGGACAGGAGCCCCGCAGCTCCCGAGGGCTCCCGGGGCTGGCCGAGCTCCATCCTGCCGTGCCCGGGCTCCGAGCGGGGCTCTGCGTGCCCGAGCTCCATCCTGTCCTGCCAGGGCTGCAGCCCGGGTTCCGTGCGGGGCTCTGCGGGCCCCGCGCAGCGCGGCTGTCGCGGGGAGGCGTTCGGGGGTCCCGGTGACCCCGCTGCCCGGTGCCGCGGCTCCCCGCGGGTCCCGGCCCGGGGCGCTGCGGGGCGAGCGGGGGGCAGCGGGTGGAGCGGGGCAGGGGCCGACGCCCGGTGCCGGGCGTTATCAGCGGGGCGCAGCCCCGCGCACCGGGCTGATGCAAAGAGGGGTGAGGATGAGGAGGGCCGCCGGGCCGGGGCCAGGCGGGGCAGGAAGGAGACGGCCGAGTCAGAGCTTTGCCGTCCATCCCGTGGCCCCGCCGCGGCTCCCGCGCCCCGCCGGGGATCCCGCGTGGCCCCAGCGGGGATCCCGCGGCCCCCGAGGGGTGTCCGGAACTCCACCCCGGCTCCCGCCACCCCCGGCCGGGAGCGAGCTCCTGCATCACCCTGGTGAGATCGGGGGGGGGCTGGTACCCCCCAAAGCCGCCCATGCCCTGACCTTGCCCCGGAGCCCCCCGGTGGGGTCGCTGGGCAGGGGTGGCGGGGGGCAGCCGGAGCCCCTCGGCCCCCCAGGCTGGGGGGGTCCCCAGGGGGCGGCTGGAACAGCGGCTTTGGGGGTCCCGGGCCATGGCACCCCCACTCAGAGACTCTGGGCTGGGGCGGGCGGGGGGCAGGGGTGAGGGGGGTTCAGGAGGGGGGTCCGGGCCCCCCCGGGTCCCTCCGGGGCTGCCCCGGGGGGGGAAGGGGGGGGCGGAGTGCGGGGCAGGGCGCCCCCTGGCGGTTGTCCCTCGGTGCAGCCCTGGGGCAGCTGCGGGGGGGGCAGGGGACACAGGGGACACAGGGGGTGCTGCAGGGGATCTGGGGGCTCATGGAAGGGCGGCAGCAGGGGCCTCCCCAGCTGTGCACCCTGGCGACCTTTGGGGTGCTCACCCCGTCCGGGTTTGGGGTGTCCCGTGAGTCCAGCTGTGCCTCAGTTTCCCCCGTTCTCACCCCCCCCTCTCTGCCAGGGGCTGGGGCCGTGTGCTGAGGGATCAGGGCACTGCGTGTGGGACCCCAGCCCGCGTGTGTGGGACTATACAGGACCCCCATACAGGGGCAGGGGGCTGTGGGGGGCTGCGGGGGGCTGTGTAGGACCCCACACGTGCGTGGGTCTATACAGGACCCCCACCCACACAGGGAGGGCCGTGTGGGACCGCAGTCCCCGAGCCTGGCTCCGTGTGGGAGCCGACCCCCGGCCGCGGGTGCGTGCAGGGGCTGACCCCAAGCACAGGGCACGGAGTGCGTGGGCACGGCTGGCTCAGGGCACCATGCCACGTCCCTGGTGGGAAGCTGCCGGGGCTCTGCCATGTCCTGACGTCGGTTCCCATCCCGTTCGGCGACAGGGCAGGGCATGACCTCCCTGGGGACCCCCAAGCCCAGGAGCTCCCATCCCGCAGGGAGCGGCTCAGGAGGGCAGGGGCTGCGGGAACGGCCCCGGCCCAGCCCTGGGGACACACGCCGGTGCCGGGGGCACGGAGCGATGCCCTGCTCTCTGCTAACTTGTTCTCTCTCGTTTCCCCCGTGCCCGCCCCGCAGAGCCCGGGTTATGGTGGCACCGGGCTGAGCGCCGGGACGCGCCGAGGCGGCAGCGGGGGCCGAGCCCGGAGCCATGGAGGGGCCTGGCCAGGTAGGGACACCCGGCCCCCGCCCCGGCTCCGCCGCTGCGCCCCGGCACGGCCCCGGCCAGGCCTCGGCGGTGCCCGACCCTGCTGACCCCCTCCTCTCTGTCCCACAGGAGGCCTACGAGGAGGGGATGAGGAGGAGCCTGGACCCCGAAGGCTACGAGGACCCCGGCCTGAAGAGCTCCCACCTGTCCCTGGGCGAGATGAGCAGTGAGTGGCTGCTGGGGGCACCGGGGGTGGCATTGCATGGGCACCAGGGGTGGCATTGCATGGGCACCAGTGTCACAGGGTGCCAGCGCTGCACGGCACGGCAGAGCACGGGTGTGGCACCGGCGTGGCAGAGGTGGCAGTGCTGCATGTGTGACAATGGCATAACACGGGTGACAGCTTGGCAGGGGTGATGGCACCACAGGGGCACTGGCGCCAGCTGGGTGCCAGCCTTGCAGGGCCACCAGTGGCTCGAGGTGACGCGTTGCGTGGGCAGAGTTTTGTGGGTGCAGCCATGCAGGGGCACCAGCACGGCTCAGGGGCGCTGCACGGGCACCAGCAGTGCATGGACACAGGTGTTTCACAGTGCCAGCTTCTCGTGGGCACGCATGGCACACGGGCATTGCAAGGGCACCGCGTTGCATGGGCGCCAGCGTGGCGCAGGCAGGTTGCATGGCTGGCACAGATGAGTTGCATGAGCACGGGCGTCTTGCATGGATGCATTTCCTGGGTGCCAGCGTGGCACTGGTGGCAGGGCTCGCTCAGAGCGCGGGGCCAGGCAGGGACACCCCCCTCAGGGACATCCTGCCCTCAGGGACACCCCCCAATGGCAGCGAGTCCCTCTGCCAAAACCTCAGAGCTGTGAGGTGCCACCTCCAGCTGCTGAGCTTGGGGACCCCCGAGGTCCTTGAGCCCCCCGGGAGGGAGGCGAGGGGAGTTTGGGGGTCAGCATCCCCCCGGCCCAGGCACGGTTGTTTCGGAGCTGCCACCCCGAGGCGGTGTTGGGGCCCGGGTGCCCCTCTGGGGTGACCCCGGTGGGGTAACGCTGCCGCCTGTTCCGCGCAGGGCCCGGCGCTGCCATCGGGTCCCCCCTGCAGGCGTGGAGGGCCAGGGCCGAGGAGATGAATCCCCTGCGGTGAGTCCCCAGAGCGGGGCGGGGGCTCTGCCTGCCCGCCTGGCATCCCCGGGGGAGGCTGGTGGCACCCGCGGTGCCCGGCGCTGAACCCCCGTGCCCGCGCTGTGTGTTTTGCAGCCAGTATCTGCCCGGCCGCCGGGGATTTTATGACCTGGACGGGAAGAGGCGCTCGGCCGGGGCCCCCCCGGGACACCCCAGCCGTGGCGAAGGGCAGCGTGAGTGACCGCGGGGGCCCCGGGGGACAAAGCCCAGCCCCGGCGTCCCCCCCACCTCGAGCCCTCGGTGGCGATGCCCGCCCCGCTTCTGCCACCCCCGTGTCCCACCCTCGGCGGGGGGACGGTCACCCGGGCGTCAGGGCACGCCGCGGGGTGACCGCTGCCACTTGCCCGTAATCGCCCACTGATTGAGGATAAATAAAGCCTTTGTTTGGGGTGAGGACAAGAACCACTCGGGGCTGAACGCTGGCTGGCGCCGGGCGGCTCGGTGGCGGTGGCGGCGGGCAGGGACGAGGACACGCTCGTGCCCACGTGCCACGGCCAGCACGGTCGGGGACACAGTGACAGGGGACGCGCCCCATCCCTGCTGCCATGGGCGCAGCATCCTTGCCCCGGCAGAGCGGGATGCGGCTCCCGCAGCATCGCCCCGCCGGGTGACCCGGCTGGGGACAGCCAGGGGACCGCCGTGGTCCCCGCGCAGGGTGGAGGGGGACGGGGTGAGCCTGTCCCCAAGGTGGGGTGACAGCGGGCGGGCGGGAGCCGTGCTGGTGTTTACTGTCAGCAAAGGAAGTGCTGCGGGATTTACGGCGCGCGCGGGGCGGCCGCGGGGATCGCTCCCCACTTTATAGGGACGGAGCTGCGGGGACATGGGGAGCGCAGGGGGGGACGCAGGTAGGCAGGGGACGGGGACAGGGACAGCTCGGGGGTCAGGCTGGCCGGGGATGCGCTGTCCCCGCGTCCCCGTTGCGGTGTGGTGCTCGGTGCTGGGGCTGCGCCGCTGGCAGGGCGGGGGCTCCGTGATGTCCCCAGGCTGTCACCCTGCCCCAGGGGCCGGGCTGTGGGGATGTGACGGGACCGAGGTGGGCACCGGCAGGGCGAGAGATGGCGGAGTGGCACATCCAGCAAACTCCAGCTGGGTCTGGGCTGGGGCAGCACGGGGGGCACATCCACGAGTGCCCAGCGGGGCTGGGGTGGGGATGATGGGGAAGGGGACACATCCAGGTGACCCCAAAGGGGGCTGGGATGGGCGTGATGATAGGAGGCACCACAAGCAGACCCCAGGGGGGTCCGGGCTGGGGCAGGGACTGGCTAACGCCTTGGTGGCTCCACTTGCAGCTGTGTCAGTGACCGATGTGGACCCGGAGGCAGCAGGGAGCAGGAGGCTCCTGTCCCAGCAGGACACCCATGAGGTGGGTGCTGCCCCAGGGACCCCCACTGCCTCCCCATTCTGGGGGTGGGTGGACTGTGGTGACCCTGGGACCAACCTGCCAGCTCAACCCTGGGGATACCAGGGCCCTGAGGGGGGGATGCTGAGTGTGCTGGGGGTCCCCAGTGTGGCCAGGGACACGCTGACCCCGCTGTCTCTGGCTGCAGGGCTACGTGGAGCTGCACGAGCTGGTCCTGGACAATGCCAAGGACTTGTGCTGGATGGAGGCTGGCCACTGGCTCAAGCTGGAGGAAGACTTCCAGGAATCAGGGGACTGGAGCCAGCCCCATCTCTCCTTCCTGACCTACCACAGCCTCCTGGAGATCCGCCGGGCTTTGAGCAAAGGTGGGGACCCCCCCAGAGACCACCAGGAGGGTGGGGGGAACCCTGAGCTGGCTGGAGGTGACAGTGCTGTCCCCACAGGTGCCATTCTCCTCAACGTGGAGGCCAACTCGCTGCCGGCCATCGTGCACATCCTCCTCGACCAGCTGATCTATGAGGGGCAGATGAAGCCGCAGGACCGCGACGACGTCATGAGGACGCTGCTCCTGCGCCACAGGTACGGCCGGGGCGGGTGGTCCCGGGGGTCCCGGGCTCTGGGACCCTCCCCAGCGTGTGCAGCTGGAGCTTGGGGTGGGAAAGCTTTGATCCTCGGACGCTTTGGGGGTTCCCGCGCACCCACGGGGCTGGGGCTGTCTGGGGGAGGATTTGGTGGCACCGGGGTGTCTGACACGGTCCCGGGGCTCTGACACGGCCCCGGGGTGTCTGACACGGCCCCGGGCTCTCAGCCACCCCACCGAGGATGAGTCGGTGTGGACGATGCCGCCGGCGCTGGTGCAGCGCTCGGGCAGCAGCCGCGCCGACGTGGAGCGGCCACTCCTGCGGGAGCAGCGGCCCCTGGAGATGAGCAGGATGGCAGGGAAGGAGCAGGTGAGCGGGGACAGGGGGCACGGGGGGCACTGGGGACATTGGGGTGCGGGAGATGCTCACTGGGTACACACACACCTTGGCACACGCAGGTGAACACACACACCTGCAGGGGGACACACACAGAGAACAGTGGGGACATCTTGGGGACAGAGAGGGGACTCAGGAATAGTGGGGGACATGCAGGAGATGGAGAGGGGACATGCAGGGAACAGAAGGAGGGACACGGGACAGAGGGGGATGATGGAGAGGGAGATACAGGGGAACTCACAGGGGGTGGTGGGTGACACGCACGGGCAGAGTGGGGGACATGCAGGTACACAGGGGACCAGGGGGACAGCCACCATGCTGGCTGGCTGATCCCTGCCCTCCATCTGCCTGCAACAGAGCGGGGTCCCCAGACCCCAACTGCTGGAGACGATCCCAGAGGGAGCTGAGGCCACGCTGGTCCTTGTGGGTGAGTGGTCAGCGGGACGGGGGTGCTGGGCTGGGTGCTGGGTGCTGGGCTGGGCGCTGGGTGCTGGGTGCTGGGCTGGGGTGCGGGCTCGGGGGGCTGGTGCAGGGTCAGGGGGTGCAGGGGGAGCTTTGCCACGTGCCCCTCGCTGCGCTCGCTCACACGCTGCTTTTCTTGTGCCTTTTTTGCCTCTCCTTGTCCTCAGCTCTCGCCGCCGCCTGCTGCTGCTCAGCGCTGCTCTCCGGGCCCCTCTGCCCATGTCCCTTGTCCCCATGTCCTCATGCCTCTGTCCTCTGTGTCCCAATGTCCCCGTACTCCCATGCCCACCTGTCTGTATGTCCCTGTGCCCATGCCTCATGTCCCTGTACTTGCATGCCCATTTATCCCTTTGTCCCTGTGACTTTTGTGGCCTTCTCCCATTCTTTGTCCCCATTCCTCTGTGTCACCTCATCTCCATTCCTGATGCCCCTCTCCCATTCCCTGTCCCCATTCCTCTGCGTCACCTCATCTCCATTCCTGATGTCCCCATGTTTTGCTGTCCCTGTGCCCATGCCTCATGTCCCTGTACTTGCATGCCCACCTATCCCTTTGTCCCTGTGACTTTTGTGGCCTTCTCCCATTCTTTGTCCCCATTCCTCTGTGTCACCTCATCTCCATTCCTGATGTCCCCATGTTTGCTGTCCCTGTGCCCATGCCCCATGTCCTTGTACTTGCATGCCCATTTATCCCTGTGTCCCTGTGACCTTTGTGCCCCTCTCCCATTCTTTGTCCCCATTCCTCTGTGTCACCTCATCTCCATTCCTGATGTCCCCACGTTTTGCTGTCCCCGTGTCTCTGTGCTCCCATGTCCCCTGTGCACGTTCCCCCATGATCCCTGTCCCGTCCCATCCTCCCCCCAGGCTGTGCAGCCTTCCTGGAGCAGCCAATGCTGGCCTTTGTGCGCCTGAAGGACGCGGTGACGCTGGACGGCGTCCTCGACGTGTCCATCCCCGTCCGCTTCCTCGCCGTGGTGCTGGGGCCCGACTCCCCCCAGATCAGCTACCACGAGATCGGCCGCGCCATCGCCACCATGATGTCCGAGAGGGTACGGGTCACCCGCCAGTGCCACCACCCCCCGAGCGCCCTGGGGAGCCAGCTTGTCCCCCTGTGCCACGTCCCCCTGTGATCCCCATGTCCCCAAGACTCCGTGTTCTCACCTCCCTGTGACCCCAAGCCCGCGTCTCCGTGTCACCGGCGGGGACACACGTGGCGCGGGCGCTGGCTCATCCCCTCGCCGCCCCGCAGGTGTTCCGCCGGGACGCCTACCTGGCCGAGGGCCGGCAGGAGCTGCTGCGGGGCGTGGAGGATTTCCTGGACGCCAGCATCGTCCTGCCGCCCACCGAGGCCCCCAGCGAGCAGCTGCTCGGCGCCCTGGTGCCGCTGCAGCGGGAGCTGCTCCGGCGGCGCTACCAGCCCCTGGAGAGGCTGCACATCGGGGACTTCCTGAAGGATCTGGGTACGGCGGGCACCACCCCCGCAATCCCCCGTCCCCGCGGCTGCCAGGACCCCCCCTTGGGACACGGGGTCCCCTCATGGCCGCCTGGTGTGTCCCCAGGGCCGGACGAGGCGGCTGCGGAGGATGATGACCCGCTGCGCAGGACGGGGCGGCCTTTTGGGGGGCTGGTGCGGGACATCCGCCGCCGGTACCCCAAATACCTCAGCGACATCAAGGACGCCCTCAACCCCCAGTGCCTGGCCGCCGTCATCTTCATCTACTTCGCGGCGCTGTCACCCGCCATCACCTTCGGAGGCTTGCTGGGTAACGGCGGGGACAGGCTGGGGACAGGCTGGGGACAGGCTGGGGACAGGCTGGGGACACTCCTGGGGACAGGCTGGGGACACTCCTGGGGACGGGGAGTGGGGCTGCGGGTGTCTCTGCCTTTCCCACCATCCCACAGGGATGCTCCAGGGGGGCTCTTCCCCCCAGTTCTGGTGTTGAGAGGTGTGGGCACAGCGCTGTCCCCCCCGCCTGGCACCCACGGGCTCTGCTCCCGTCAGGTGAGAAGACCAAGGGGATGATGGGGGTGTCGGAGCTGCTCATCTCCACCTGCGTGCAGTGCGTGCTCTTCAGCCTCCTCAGCGCCCAGCCCCTCCTCGTCGTCGGCTTCTCGGGACCCCTCCTGGTCTTTGAGGAAGCCTTTTACTCGGTGGGTGCCCCCTGCGCCCCTGGGTGCCCCCACGGTGGGTCCAGCACGGCTGGGTGCCCACGCCAGGGGCTCCAGGGGACTGACAGCCCTTGGCTCCCCAGTTCTGCAGCAGCAATGGCCTGGAGTACATCGTGGGACGGGTGTGGATCGGCTTCTGGCTGATCCTGCTGGTGCTGGTGGTGGTGGCCTGCGAGGGCAGCTTCCTGGTGCGCTACCTGTCCCGCTACACCCAGGAGATCTTCTCCTTCCTCATCTCCCTCATCTTCATCTTCGAGACCTTCTCCAAGCTGGTCACGGTGAGGGACACGGGGGTCTCACGGTGGGGGTGGGGGGCTGCAGATTGTGGTTATCACCCAGGTTTCCATAGGAACAGTGGGATGCAGGTGAGGGATGGAGTCTCCTGGTGCTGCCTCCCCTTTTCCAGGTGTTTCCCAGCTGGTGAGGCTCCTTCCAGCACTGACTATTCTGTGACCCTGTGATCCGTGCTTCTCTCTGCAGAGGGATTTTGGGGCTCACTCGTCCCTCCCCACTGCACCACGCAGCCCTTGCTCTGTCCCCACTTCCAAAACCCTAAAAACACCCCCTGCTCAATCTGTGCTGAGCTCCCAGCCTCACCCAGCCCCTGGCTCCCATCCTGAACCCACGGCAAGGTGCCACCACGGCAGGGGGGGTGCGGGGGACCCCCACCCCGCTTTCCCTCACCCTCTCCTCTTCCTGCCCAGATTTTCAAGCACCACCCCCTGAAGCGGGAGTACAACGTGCAGCCCGAGGTGCAGCCCGGGGTGCCCGAGCCCAACACGGCGCTGCTGTCCCTCGTCCTCATGGCCGGCACCTTCTTCCTGGCCTTCTTCCTCCGCGTCTTCAAGAACAGCTCCTTCCTGCCTGGCAAGGTGAGGGTCCCCCTGCCCCAGGGACAAAGCGGGGTTCACCCTGAGGCCGTGCACAGTCAGAGTTCGTGTTCCTGCAGAGGAGGGGGCGGCGGGACCCCCGGGCTGGGGGGGCCACGCAGGTTTCTCACGCTGTCCCCACAGGTCCGGCGCCTGATCGGGGACTTCGGGGTGCCCATTTCCATCTTCATCATGGCCCTGGCCGACTTCTTCATCAACGACACCTACACGCAGGTCTGGGGGGGCAGGGCTGGAGGGGACAGGTGTCCCTGCGTGGGGACACGGGAGCGGGTGCTCGTCCCTGCGTCCCACCCCTCACTGCCCCATCTCTGCTCCCGCCCAGAAACTCAGCGTCCCCAGAGGGCTGCAGGTCACCAACGCCACCGCCCGGGGCTGGTTCATCCACCCCATGGGGGACACTGCCCCCTTCCCCATCTGGATGATGTTTGCCTCCGTGATTCCCGCCCTGCTGGTCTTCATCCTCATCTTCCTCGAGACACAGATCACCACGTGAGGAGGGAGATAAGGGCAGGGGAGGGCTGTGGGGTGCCTGGTGGGTCGGGGTAGAGGGGACCTGCTGCGTCACCAACTGTGCCTGTGTCCCCACAGCCTCATCGTCAGCAAGCCCGAGAGGAAACTGGTGAAGGGCACCGGCTTCCACCTGGACCTGCTGCTGATCGTGGCCATGGGGGGGCTGGCAGCCCTTTTTGGGATGCCCTGGCTCAGTGCCACCACCGTGCGCACCATCACCCACGCCAACGCCCTCACTGTCATGAGCAAGACCTCTGCCCCGGGCGAGAAATCCCAGATCCTGGAGGTCAAGGAGCAGCGCATCAGCGGCCTGCTGGTGGCTGTGCTCATTGGTGAGCTGGGGAGGGGTCCCCAGGCGGGCAGGGAGGGTCAGGGGTCCGCAGGGACTCTCCCCAGCCTCTCCTTCTCCCCCGCAGGTGTCTCCATCCTGATGGAGCCCATCCTGAAGTACATCCCCCTGGCCGTGCTCTTCGGCATCTTCCTCTACATGGGGGTCACCTCCCTCTTTGGCATCCAGCTCTTTGACCGCATCCTGCTCCTGCTGAAGCCCCCCAAGTACCACCCCGACGAGCCCTACGTCACCCGGGTGAGTGACCCCCATGGGTGGCTGTGGCTTTGGGGGTGTCCTGGGCTGCTTGGGACCCCCAGAGAGGCTCCTCCTTCAGTGCTGGCCTTTGCTGGCTTCCTCGGGACCCTGCAGTGCTCCCCCAGCAGCCAGCACCCCAGGAGGGGTGTGGGGTGCTGTCCCTGTCCTCAACCCTCGGCTCCTCGCCCCACAGGTGAAGACTTGGAGGATGCACCTCTTCACCTTCACCCAGATCATCTTCCTGGTGGTGCTGTGGGTGGTGAAGTCCACCCCGGCCTCGCTGGCTCTGCCCTTTGTCCTCATCCTCACCGTGCCCCTGCGGCGCTTCCTGCTCCCCAGGATCTTCCGGGACATCGAGCTCAAATGTGTGCGTAGCCCTGGCACTCCCAGCCCCACCTCCCTCCCTGCGCCTGCTCCTCACCTCCATTTCTGTGCCTGCCTCTGTTCTCCTCCCCATCCCCATCTCTGCCACCGTCTGCACCCCTCACTCCCACCCGTGTCCCCATCCTCACCCCGTCCCTGTTCCCATCCTGTCCCCACTCCTGTCCCCGTCCCTGTCCCCATCCCAACCCTTTCCCCAGGCTCATCCCAGCCCCTGTTCCCATACCAGCCCTGACAGTGTCCCTGTCCCCATCCTGTCCCCATCCTGTCCCCACCCTGTCCCACCCTGTCCCCCTCACGGCCTCTCCTGCCTGCAGCTGGACGCGGATGACGCCGTGGTGACCTTTGAAGAGGCAGAGGGGACAGATGTGTACAACGAGGTGCAGATGCCCAGCTAAGGGCCGGGCCCCCGCCCCCCCCCCCCCCCCCCCCCATCCCTGTCCCATGTCACTTGTCCCCATCCCTGTCCTCCATCCCTCTCCCCATCCCTGTCCCCACCCCTATCCCCATCCTGTCCCCATCCCTGTCCCCACCCCATCCCCATCCCTGTCCTATCCACCTGACCATCGCCACCCCGGGGCCACCGGGCCACCAAGAAGGACTGGTGACACAGTCCCCACCTGCCCACCCCTGGGAACGGAGCCTTTTTTGTTTTTCCCTTTTTTTTTGGTCTATTTTTTAAAAGTATTTTGGATGTGATCTCACCCCCCACTTTGCTGCCTGCTGGGGAAGGGGCTGCCTGGGCCCCACCAGCCACCCTCCACCCGTGGCAAGGTGGGATGTGTCACCAGCCTGTCCCCAAGGCCACCGAGGAAGACCCCGGAGCCTGCATGGAGGAAGGCAGGGACAGAGATACAGCAGGATGGGGTCCTCCCCCTGTCCTCCCCCTCCCCGGGGAGCCCCCCCAGCCCAGCCCCTCTCCCCAGATGAACTTTGGGCAGACCTTTCACCCTCTGGAGCATTTTTTTCCCCATTTTCTCCATCACTTGCTCCACGGGATAGTCGCAGCTGCTCCGCTGCACTCCCAGCACATCCCAGAGCCAGGATGTAAATAGCCCAGCAAGGGGGTTTATACATTTACAGCAAAAACAATCATGCTTAAAACACGCAGAAAAAAAATTATGCTGATGCTTCTGCAGGTAGAATTCACTTAGAGCCAAGCAAAAATTTAAATTAAAAAAAAGGCTGAAAAATATCTCAAAAACAGGAAAAAAAAAAAGAAAAAGAAAAAAAAAGCTGCAAGGAGTGATCTGTATATTTGATGCTACTGGGGGGGTTTGTAATTTATTTTTCAGGCTGGTTGTGCCCCCACTGCAGTGGGGCCATGTGCGTGTGTGTATATACTAGAGAATTATAGCAAAACCTAGGATTTTCTAGAAAAGATGATTTTAAAGAATCCTGGTCAGGGCCTAAACTCTATGGACCAGTCTGGCAGCGTCATTTAACGATAAGTTAGTGTTCATTAGTTAATTAGTCCTCTTTATTTTTATAGCGTTTCAGGTAAATCCATGCAGTTTTTCCTTGATTTTTTTCCTGTGCTTGCTCACCGTGTTTTGCCCCATTTCCCTTGGGATTGCTCCCAGTCCAGCCCAGCATCCCCCAGTCCCTCCAGGGCTGGTTCTGCCCTGGGCAGCCCCAAGGGTTGGATGTGACCAGGCTGCACAGCACCAGATCAGACTCCAAATTTGCTCCTTTTTGCATCAATCAGAGCAGGGGACCCCAAAATCAGCGTGGGGGAGGAAGGGTGGGAAGGGGCAGCCACACCCGGGGCTGTGCTGCCTCATGTTTGGGTTGTTTTAGTTTTATTAATTATGTGGCTGAAATAAAAATGTTTTGATCTTTGCGGGTTTCTCCTTCCCTTCCCCACACCTCTGTATCAGGCTTTAATAAACAAATTAATAAAATCAGGAAGGAAACGGGGGTTTTCTTTCCAGCTGGGAATTGTCTGGGATGCCTTAATTCCCCCCAAAAGAGAGCAGCAGCATCCTCTGAGGGCGTCCATCCCCCTGGGATGCACAGCACAGCTGCCCCAGGATCCTTGCCGTGGTATCCTGGGGTATCACGGGATCCCAGCATCCCAAGACCCTCGCTGCATCCCATCTGAAACCCTCCCCAGAACCATCCCTCGCTGTTCTTTGTGGGCACCCATGGGTGCTCCCCACAGCCATCCCGGGGAGCTCATCCTCCCTGCACAGGCTGTGCCCATTCCGGGGGGATTGGGAATGTCCCGATCCAGCGCTGCTGGCACAGGACACAGCCCCTGCCCTCCCCCAGCCCCTGGCACAGGGCTGACCCCGATTATCCATAATCCCATTAAGGGGCCGTGGGAAGGGCCGTGCCCGGCCATGGGGCAGGAGCTGGGAGCAGCACCCCCATCCCAACAAAAACCCCAAACCCTCTCTGAGGGGCTGGGATAAAGCCCAGCGTGGCCACCAGGCTGCCCCAAGCCTGGCACAGCTGCCAGGCCCTGTTTTCCAGACGGGGGGAGCACATGGATGGCACCTCCCAGCCCAAGTCCCCGTGTCCCTGTGCCAGCTGCACGTGGACAGGCCACGCCGCTGCCACCCCAGCCCCAGGGACAAGGCAGCAGCTGCCTGCACCCCTCCCTCACCTTCCCCACCCTGGGAAGAGCTGGCTGCTCCCTGGAGATGGCAGCGAGGTCACGGCCAGCCCGGCTGGGCTGGGAATTTAGGTCAAGCTCCTCTTTGAACTTGCCTCAGCCCTGGGAAACTCAGAGGGAATTAGGGAAATGAGGGGGAAATAAATGCTAATTAATTGGTTGGTAATGAGGGGAGGAGCATGGAGTGGCTAATGAGGAGGGGGATCATGCTGGAGCAGCACCCCTGCAAAGGAGAACCCCAGTGCCTGCAGCATCACAGGGCAGGGGACACGGGACACCCTGGCATCTGCTGGCAGTGGCACTGCTCGTGCACTGAAAAAGTAGAAATGTAAATAAAAACCTCCAAACCTGCGGCTTTATTCTCCAAAAATACCAATTTACACAAGTAACAGGAAATAAAAAATTCCCGTGGTCAGGAGCAAGGCCTGGGAAGGGCAAGGAGAGAGGGGGTGGTTTGGGTGGGCATTGGGGGGTCCCCATTTCCAGCCCAGGGTTTGTGGCTGATTCCCAGGTCTCTGGTGTGTCCTGCTGGTAAAAAAAAGCCCCAAGACCACGTTGGGAGAATTGGGACTGGAGCACATTAGCAACTCCATGGATTTAAAAAAAAAAACTGAAAAATTAAAAATGTCAATTTTCACATGTTGGGCCTGATTGGCTCGAAATATTTAATGGTTTTTCTTGGGGGTTTTTTGGTTGTTTTTTTTTGTGGGTTTTTTTTTTTTTTTGTTGTTGTTGTTTTTTTTTTTTTACTTTTAACATTTTTCCCTCTTGCGAAATAGCGACAACTCATGAAATTCAGGGATCCAGCCCAGCCCAGGCCCTTTCCCACACGGAATAAATCCATACATTTTTATTTTTAAGCTCTCACAGGAGGGATTAGCCACCCGGCGCCAGTGCCGCCTGGCCGGGCTTGGCACAGCTCGGGCAGGACGTGGCGGAGGAGCCGGCTGTCCGTCCGTCCCTCTGTCCCTCCCTCCGCCTGATCCTTCCCTTCGGAATAAAACCCAAAATAATCCACTTGCACAGCCAGGCGCTTCCCCCGCACCCCAAACCAGCCGCGAGGGGTGTGTGTGTGTTACCCAAAATTAGAGATTATTATTCAATTTCTTGTTTCCTTTTCCATTTAACGAGCGTGAAAATCGCCCGGATTTCGGCCATCCCCACGCGGCCAGCCGGGGCGATGCGCGCAGCACACCGAGCCGGGTGCCCGCACCTTCCCAGAGCTCGCTCTGCGTGCCCGGGGCGCTGCGCCGGTGGCTCCGGTGCTGCCGGAACCGGTCCGGTCCGGCCGGGAGCAGCGCCATGACCGGAACCGCGCGGAGCACGCGGGCGGCCGCGCCCGGTTACCGGAACCACCGGGAGCAGCCGGGAACCGCCGGGAGCAGCCGGGAACAACCGGGAACAAGCGGGCAGGCCCGGCCGTGGCGCAGCCAGCCGAGCTGCTCGGTGCCACCGGAGCTGCCGGTACCGTGCACGCAGCCGCCGCCGCCGCGCTCGGTGCTAGCCCGGTACCGGTGCTGTGCTCGGCACGGAAGCAGCCCGGGATGGCCCGTGCTGCGGCGGCGGCGGCAGCCGGGATAGCCGGGATGGCCGGGAATGTGCAGGCGCTGCCCGGCCGGGATTGGCTGCGGGGAATGACGCCCAGCACAACAAAGGTGGAGTTGGAGAAATTCCATTAAAAAAAATTAAGAGAGAGAGAGGGAGAGGGAGAGAGAGAGAGGGAGAGGAGAGAAAGGCAGCGGAGGGAGGGAGGAGGGGAGGAAGCTGCCCCTCGCCCGCCCCGCCGGGCAGAGCCCCCCCGCCGCCGTGTCCCGGGGCCGCGGGGCGGGCAGGAGCGCGGCCCCGCCGTGCCTCCTTTCCCTCCTCTTCTCCTTCCTCCTCCTCCTCCTCCTCTTTTTCTTCTCACCACAGTGTTGCAAAAGCAAAGAGCAATAAAAAACCCGGCGGAAAGCGGCGGCGGGGCGGCGGGGCTGGCGGGGAGATCCCGGCGGATCCCGGCGCGCTCAGCCCGGCTGATTGGAAGAGCGAACGCAGCGCCATGGAGGCGGGGGAAAGCGCCGCTCCGCCGGCGGGGCTGGAGGAGGCGCTTTGTTCCTCCCCGGGCTCCCGCTGCCGCTGCCGCCGCCACCGCCGCGCTCCGGGCTCGGTAAGGCGCTCCGCCGCCGCTCCGACGGGAACGGGGAGGGGGTCGCGCCCACCGGAGCGAAATTTTTTTTTTTTTGTTTTTTAAAGAGAGGGAGAGAGAGGTAAATATAAAAGAGAGGATTTTTTTTTTTTTTTAAAAAAAGAAAGGCTGGTTTCGCGCAGGCCCCGCGGGCAGGAAGCCGCCGCCGCCCCCGCCGGGGCTCGCCCGCCTCGCCCGCCCGCGGGGGGCACCGCGCTGGGGCTCGGGGCGGGGGGCAGCGCCCGGCTCGGCGGCCCCGGTGTGCCCCCCCCTTCTCTCCCTCCTTTTTCCCTTCCCTTCCCTCTCCTCCTCCTCGCTCCCTCCCTCCTTCCCGCTCGCCTTCCCTCCCTCCTCCCCGGTGCCGCAGCTGGATTTCGGGGGCAGGCTTCCAGCGCTGCCCGCTTGTTTTTCCCGAGCCCGGGTGAGTCCCGCGCCGCGGCGGGAGCTGGGCGCCGCGCTCCGCCGGTGCGTGCCGGGGCTCGGCCGACCCCCCCCCGCGCTTCACCTCCCCTTATCCTCGCTCTATCCTCTCTTTATCCCTTTTTTTCTCCTTATTTTCTTTTTATCTATATTTTTTTTTCCTCCCCCTCTTTTTTTTTTTTTTTTCCGCCTTTCACCCCCCCTTCCCCTTCCTTTCTTCCCTCCGGACCGGGAGCGGGGCTCCAGCCCCCCGCTGGGTGGGTGGGTGCTCGCGGGCTCGAGGAGGGGTCGCGGGGAGAAAAGAGGGGGCTAAGAAAGGGAGGAAAGGAAAGGGAAAAACGAGGAAAGGAAAAGCGAGGAGGGGGCGGCGGTGGGGAAAAAAAGAAGAAGGGGGGGAGGATCGGGTAGGAGCCGCTCCCCGGGGGTCGGTGCGGGGAGGTCGCGCTGCCCTCGCCCGGCTCGCTGCAGCTGCCCGGCCGCCCCCAGCCGGGCATCCCCGCCCCCCCTTCCCCCTCCTCCGCACCCCCGGCCCCCCGAACTCGCCTTCCATTGTCTGCCCGGGTGTTGTTGGAGGGAAAGAAAAAAAAGGGAGGGGGGGGCTCAGCTCGCTGGCGCCCGGGTGGGAACCGGGGGCGGGGGAGGCGCCGCCGGGGCCGCCCGCGCTCGGTCCCACCCGGTTCCTGCTGCCTGCTGGAGGAGGAGACTGGAGCTGGCCGGCGGCGCAGGGCATGTGCGGGCTCCCCGCCTCCGCCCGCCGGCCCCCCCCACGCGTCCCCCCACCCCTCCCCGGGGCTGCGATCCCCCCGCGGGGCGATCCCCGGTGTCACGCCGCCCCCGGGGCTGGGCTTGATCCCACCCCGCGGCGATCCCTCTGCCGGCCCCGGGGGTGGTCCTGGATCCGCCCCGCTCGGGGGTTGATCCAAGCCTGGAGCGGTTTCCCCCCCCCCCCGCCCCGCCATCCCTTCAGGGTTCATCCCGCCCCGGGTGATCCTCGGTCCCACGCTGGTGGGGGCTGCACGCCCCCCGTCCGCCCCCAGGTGATCTCGCCCTCAGGGGGTCCCACATCCGTCCCCCCCCGGGGCTGCCCCGGCCCCCGGGCCTGGCGGGGCCTGCACCCCGCCGTGGTGCCCGCTTCCCTCCCGCAGCCGATCTCCCTCCGGGGGCCATCCCGGATCCTGCCCGGGGTTTCTGCCGCCCTGGGCCGTCCCCGTGCTCTCCCCGGGTGATCCTCCCTCAGAGCCAGGGCCCGGTTCTGCCGGGAGCCCCTGGGCCCCTCCCCAAGCCTGGATCCCGCTGGGGTCCCCCGGGCCCAGCCACTCCCCAGGCCCGGGGCCTGCTCCCCCCCAGGCCTGCGGCCTGTCCCTCGCGGGATCCCCTGAGGCCTCCCGCCCCATCTGCCCTCCAGGGGCTCCCCCAGTGGAATCCCCCATGGGGATCCCCCCGGGCTACCATCCTGCCACCCCCCCCCACACCACACCAAGTTTTGGGGTCTCCCTTCCTAGGTTATGCTTCCCCATGGATACACAAGATCCTTCCTGATGGGGTCTGAGGGCATCCTTCATCTGGAGCCCCCCTGTTGAAATACCTTCCTCCAGCTTGTTCTCCTCCTTGGGAGACCCCCTGATGTCCCCAAATGCCCCCCCCCAGCTCCCTTGGATCTGGGGGATCCCTCTCTTCTCCAAGCATGTCCCCACCTCTGGGGAGGATTTTGCTGGATCTGTGGTGGGCCTTCCTTTGAAACCCCCATTTTGCAGTGGGGGGAGTGAACCCCCTTACAGGAGATCCCTTGGACCCCTTTTGATCCCAGGTTTTTTGATCCCACCCACCCCAGGGAGCCGCCTTGAACCTGTCTCCTCTGGGATTTATTGGGATCCCTCTCGGATCCTATCCCCCACCTTGGGAACAAACCCCTGGACCATTCTCCCCTGCCCACACACCCCTTTTCTCCTCCCCTGACCAACGTGGGGGTCACATCACCATGGAGGATCCCCCCTCCTGGAGCTCTCCCCAAACCACAGGGATGGGTGGGAGAGGGGATTCCTGCACTCGTTCACCGGGAGTGGAGGGGATGGGTGGATCAAGTTTCCCCCACTCCCCGTTAGGAGTTGGGGTCCCCCCATCATGGTGGGGTTGCCTAGCAGGGTTCTCCCTTTCCTTGCAGAGCCGTGGGGGAGTGATTTTGGGAAGAGGGTGAGGAGGGAGCCGGCGGGACCGTCCTGGGCACAGGCAGGAGGAGGATGAACGGCGAAGCTGAGTGCCCTGCAGACCTGGAAATGACAGCTCCCAAAAACCAAGGTGAGCCCCCGGCAGCCCCCGCAGCGTGTGCTCCCAGAGGAATGCTGCTGTTACGCTTAAAAATAATAATAATAAATAAACATCAGAGCGCCCCTTTTTTCGGAGGGATGGCAGAGGAGGAGGGATGGAGAGGGAGGAGGGATGGAGGATCCTGGCTGCCAGCGGGTTGAGGTGGGGGGATCTGCCTCTCTGAGTTCTGATCCACCATGGGGAACACACACACACACATGTATGAGCACAGATTCGTGCTCCAGTGCACCAGCAGCCCCTTGGTGCTGGGGTGCTCTTTGGGGGGACTGGAGTGCCGGGGGGATTGGGAAGGGGGGGCTGGCACAGAGGTGCTGCCCTCCCTGCTCACATCTGGGCTGCATTAAAAGCCGAGCCGTTACCTTGGGCCTCCAGCTTCCAGACCCCAGCATGACATCAGAGCTTCAGCTTTTATTGGAAAAGGGGCAGGAAAACAAGGGAAAAAAGAGAGATGTTTGTTTAGGGCGGCTCGCAGGGCTCTGCCGCTCCACCCCTTAAAAACCCCCCGTGTCCCCCAAAAGCTGGAGCACCATCCAGCCCCTCACACCTGCCGGGTCCCCCCGTCTTCCTCCTTCCCTGCTGCAGTCGGGGTTGTTGCCTCGAGCGAACCCGGCCGAGCACGTGCCCTTCTCCGGGACTTGAGATGGATTTAATTACACCGGGGCAGCTTTCCTAATATAGCCCCGGCCGGGCCGGTGCCAGGAGAGCCGGGATAAATCTGTCCCAGGGCACAGACAGCCCCATTCATCCTGGGGGTGAGCGCCGCGATTCCAGCGGCTTTCAGCGTGCCCCGGGCTGAGGGAGGGGGAGCAGAGGGGTGGAGGGCTGAGCGTGGGGGTCCCTGTTGTCCCCACCCTGCTGCCAGCGAGGATTTTGGGATGTTTACACTGTTTTTTTAATGTATTCCTTTGGGATGTGGTTATTCCAGCTGTGTGCTTTTGGGGGGTTCACACAGGGCCGAAGGTCTCCAGGTGTTTTCTGGAAACAGAGGCACTGGGCTTGATGGGGGCAGGTTTGGGGGGGTGTCTCATCCCCTTCTCTGCCCCCTCTGGATTTTTGTGGCTGTGCTGCTTTTGGTAATTCCTCCTGATTTCTGCAAGTAAAGTTGGCAGCAGCTTCCCAGCCCTGTTCTGCCTCATTGGTCCTTGCCTGGGAGGCCTGGAAAGTGGATGGGAAAAACAGGAAGACAGAATTTGGGGCTGTGTTCTCCCTCCCCCAGCTCTGGTCTCCCCCAGCTCTGTGGGGAATGGGAGTTTCCCATCTCTTTTGCCTCTTCATGGTGTTTTGGGATGAAGCCATGAGCATGGGGACACACCCCAAGCCACCAGGCCCTCGCTTTCCAGGGGGGCTCTTTCTGTCTTCTGCCTCCTTCTTAATCCCTAATGAGGTCACTATAGGGAGCAGCTGGATCCCAAACTGTTCCTGCCTTGACCCCCAACCAGGCAGGTCCAGGAGGGGAAATGGGATGGGGGGGTCACGTCCTGGCTATGCTCCCTTCACCAGGTCCCCTATATCCTTTAACATCCCTTGCTTGGATGTGGGAATCCAGGGGAATTGTCCTTCCCCAGACCTCTGCAAGGGCAGGAGGTGGAGGTGGTTTTCCTCATGTTGAGTCTTGAGTGGAAGGAGAGCTGCAGCTGGAGAAATCTGTGCAGCTGGATATATCTGGGAGCTTGGTTTCCTTCCTGCAGATGGAGGGAGAGATGCTCCACTCAGATCCGTGATGAGCCACCCTGTCCCCATCTCTGGGGGGCTCCACGTTTGTAGGCAGCTCCAAACACCTCAGCCTTCACCTGGCAGAGGTGTGAGGCAGGGAATGCCGTGCTGAGCCAGTCCTGTGCTGCGGGAATCCCGGGTGCCCATCCCGGCATGAGGCAGCCAGGGCTGCGTGGGCGGTGGCCCCGGGCTCTGCTCCTCCTCCAGCCCATCCCCAGGGAATTTTCCTTCCGCTCCCAGGCCCCGCTGCATTCCCCAGGGCCACCTATGTTTGCAGAGCACCCCGGGCTGTGCTCCCCTGCTGGAGCAGGGAGGAATTCCCCTGGCAAGGAAGCAGCCCCAAGGTTGGGGCAGGATGAGGCGTTCAGGGCTGGGATATCCTGCCTGCTGCCTGTCCTGGCACGGTGCTGCTGCCTGTCCTGGCCTCCAGGTCGCTCCAGGCTCTCTGGCTTTGCCACGTGCCCATCCCACCATTCCAGTAGCATGTTCCTATGGGAGCTGGGGATGCTCCTCCCAGCAGTTTGGGGGATGTTGGGGTGATATGAACATCATCCTGCACTGTCATGGACCCTTCTGTGAGACAGGGGGGCTGTGCTGGGCTCTGCCCCCTCTCACTTTGTGGTCTGGGAGCTTTGACCTTGGCAGAGGTCACTGTGGAGCCGGGCCCAGGTGATCACAAAGCTGTCTGAGGTGCAGGAGAAGCAACGCTGAGGCTTTCCAGTTGCTCTGGACACATCCACTTAGAAAGTGGGCTTCCCTGCTTGGCTGGAGAGCTCATTGCTCTCCTATCACTCCGCAGGGGTAGGAAATAGCCCTCTGCTCCCGTGCAGCAGAGCCATCCCTTATCTGATGGTTTTCTGGGATGAGCGAGTCTCTCTGGTTTGCACCGAGTGGAATTTCTAGCTTTGCCCAGATTGTTTTGGCCCGTAGAAAGTTGCTCGAGGGTGATGGAAACAGCCACGTCCCTTTGATCTTTAATCTGGAGAGGCAGCATGTGGAGATTACGTGTCCTGGCGTGCAGTCCGGAGCGGCACGCCGGGAGCTGTAGTGCCGGTGTCCTGCCGGGCAGGGAAGGGAAGGGAAGAGGCTTCCTGCCCCTGGCTGATCCCGTTTCTCACTGCTCAGACCGCTGGTCGCAGGAGGACATGCTGACCCTCCTGGAGTGCATGAAGAATAACCTGCCCTCCAACGACGGGAGCAAGTTCAAAACCACCGAGTCCCACCTGGACTGGGAAAAAGTGGCTTTCAAGGACTTCTCAGGGGAGATGTGCAAGATGAAGTGGATGGAGATATCTAATGAGGTAATTGACACATGGGGCTTTGTTGGGGTATTGTGGCAGGGTCCAAGAGTCCTACTGACATTCCCAGGGCTGTTAGAATTGTCCAGGTTGAGTGCCCAGAGCCCTCAGCACCATCCCGCTGCTGTCAGCATTGTGACCCCCTCAGAGGGGCTGGGATTGGTAATTTTTGGGGTGGCATTACAAAACCCAGGGGCTTTCTGCTGTGCCAAGGATCTGCCCTGTCCCCTGTTCAAGTCTTTGTCTCTTCATTTCCTGCACAGGTGAGGAAATTCCGGACCCTCACAGAGCTCATTATGGACGCTGAAGAGCATGTGAAGAATCCTTACAAAGGCAAAAAGCTCAAGGTATTGGGCAGGAATTAGGCTCAGTCCCTAAAGGGTGACCCCACACTTCCTCAGAATGTAGGCCTGTTGTCCCTGTGGCACCTCAGATCCACGTGGCTCCAACGTGGGAGCCCCTGCAGGCACCTCAGTGCCCCTAATCCTGGTGTCCGGCTGCCCAAGGCTCCAGAGGCCTTGGGCCTGGGCCAACTCCCGGGTACATTTAATATGGCTGGCTGTACTGCTGGCAGCCTGCATCCAAGTTTAGCTCCGGAGGGGCCAGGAACTGCTGTCCTATTCCTGGCCTGCCGGGTGCTTTCAGCTGGGGCAGCTGGTGGTCCATCCCTGGGAGCTGGGTCCCATCCCCTCCTCCTGCCCCAGTGTCCCCTCTTGCTCTGTGCTGACAGCTCTGGATGGCTGGAGGCCTCTCCCAAGGTTCCCAGCCGTGGGATGCTGTAGTTTCTTGGGGAACCCTTGTCCCCAGCAGTTTCCCTCTCCTGTGCCTGGATCACCAGCAGGGCTGGATGGAGGCAGCCCCCAGCTCTGGGGAGCCATGGGTTAGGATGTTCCCCCATGGTTCTACTAGCTCCATGCTCAGTGTCCTGCACTCTGCTGTCTCCCCAGAAACACCCCGACTTCCCCAAGAAGCCCCTGACTCCCTATTTCCGCTTCTTCATGGAGAAGCGAGCCAAATACGCCAAGCTTCACCCCGAAATGAGCAACCTGGATCTCACCAAGATCCTGTCCAAAAAATACAAGGAGCTTCCCGAGAAGAAAAAGGTATGGGGGGGTGGGGGCAGGGTCAGCAAGCCCCTTCCCATCGTGTGCCTCTCTGTGCTGGGCTCTGCTCAGCTCTTCCAGTAAAACCAGCAGAGCTCAAGCTCTGCCTGGCGAGGGCTTAATGCAGCTCTCGATGGGAGAAGCCAGGTTTAGTCCTGTCAGACCTGTAAGACTTCCTTGGCTTTTCCTGTCCTGGTTCCCAGGATCGCTGGGGTGGAGGCCGGTTGGGTCTGTCCGTTGGTCTGTCTCTTCCTGATGGACTTGGATGGTGGCTTTGCTGTTGGGTGGATCTGTGTTTAAAGGGGTTGAGGCACACGCCCCACTGTGCCACCCTGGCCGGGTGAGGGACACAGGGACAGGCTCTGGGAGATGCTGGGAGCAGAGATCTGCCCACCTGAGATGCCAGAGCCTGGGCAGGACTTTGGGGGGGCCCAGCTTTAACTTTGGGGTGTCCAGGAAAAGTCCAGGGCACAAGGTCCTGCTGTGCCCTTTCCCAGGGCTGCTGGGATACACAGAGGGGAGGTGTCCAGCTGAGTCTCAGGCAGGCTGGAAACCCTCTGCAGGACCATTCCATGGGCTGGGGAGCCCTTGGGTCCCTCTTGGGGTGGTGGATGCCCAGCCAGGTCGATGGGGATGTATCTTCCTGCCTGTTCCCTGCTGCTGACATCCCTCTCCACCTCTGCGGTGGCTTTGTGTCCCCAGATGAAATATATCCAGGACTTCCAGCGAGAGAAGCAGGAGTTTGAGAGGAACTTGGCGAGGTTCAGGTGAGCAGGCAGCCCCACCTCCCCATATTTCCCCAGGCCCCTCCAGGCAGATCCAGATTTTCCTTCTGTGCCTAGCTCATAGAGCCCACTGATGGGCTTTTGGCTTGAAGAGAAGGAGGAATTCACCAAAAAGAGAGCAAGGAAAAGATGTCTGAGAGCAACCCTCAGGCTGGGAGACTGGATGAGGGGGAGAGCAGAGGACCAACCATGCTCTGGGGGTCAGGAGCACTGCAGCTCTGCCAGCAGCACTGATAAAAGCTGAAGTGTCCCCCCTGTCACTCCAGACCTTGCCTTGGATGTGATTGTTGTGAGCCAGGTGGATCCCGGCATTCCCAGTGACCTGCTGCTGCTTCAGGGTTGCAGCTGAGCCCAGGGATGGCTGTAGCCATCCCCAAGGAGGGTCAAACCTAAATCTTTCCTAAAACCCGCCTCCACTTTTTGGGGACCCCCCCCAGCACCTGAGCCCACGGAGGCTCTGCCCTGCAGTGACAGTCACCCCTTAGCGGGCAGGTTTAGGGTGCTCTCCTTGCCACTGCCTCCTCCCTGACGCTCTCCCTTGCCCACCTCCCCGCCTGCTGAAGGGAAGACCACCCGGATCTCATCCAGAACGCCAAGAAATCCGACGTCCCCGAAAAGCCCAAGACCCCCCAGCAGCTGTGGTACAACCACGAGAAGAAGATCTACTTGAAAGTGCGTCCAGATGTGAGTACGGTGGGTGGGAGTGAGTGCGAGTGTGAGTGCTGGGGGGTCCTGGACCCCGCTGCTGGGGGCACGAGGGGGAAGGGAGAGAAGCATTTCAGGGGAAGGGATGGAGGACACCGCTAGGAGCTCCCGGAGCCTGGACTGAGGTAAGGAGGGGCTCTGCACACCTGGAAGAGGCTCAGGGATCCAGCTCTCACTTTTTTTGCCAGGAAGGGGTGACCACAGCCTGAGTCAGGGCAGGAAAGGATTCCAGCACAGACATCCACCTCTGGCCATGCCCCCCACTCCCACACAGCCCACGGCTCCCAGCCACTCCATGCCGGGTGCCTTCAGGCCCCACCAGGCCACGCCATTTTTTTTGCCATTTTTTTATATTTTTTCATCCCTCTTTTTTTTTTTGGATTTTACCCATCTGCCCTCACCTCTGGCTTTGGGTTTTCAGGCCACCACGAAGGAGGTGAAAGAGTCGCTGGGCAAGCAGTGGTCTCAACTCTCGGATAAAAAGAGGCTGAAATGGATTCATAAGGCCCTGGAACAGCGGAAGGAGTACGAGGTAGGGAGCAGCCTCACCCGGTCCCCTCCACACTGGTCCAAACATTCACTTTGAGCCTCTCTGCATCCCAGCCCTGCGTGGCCTCTCCCGATAGCCAGCGTGGGGGTTCAGGCAGGTCCTGGCAGGTCCCTAGTGAGTCTGAGCCCTGCCTCTCCAGCCGTGTGCAGGGCAGGCAGCAGCATCCCCAGGCACAGGATTAGGGCAATGGTTGGCTTCTCTCTCCTCCTCCTCCGGCCCCAGCAGGCGGGGGTGGCAGCCCCTCTGACTGCTCTCTGTTCCCACAGGAGATCATGCGGGATTACATCCAGAAGCACCCGGAGCTGAACATCAGTGAGGAGGGAATCACCCGCTCCACCCTCACCAAGGCCGAGAGGCAGCTCAAGGACAAGTTCGACGGACGACCCACCAAGCCCCCCCCGTGAGTCCTGTCCCTCCTGCAGCCACAGCCTGCCTGGGTGCTGGTATTGCCAGAGAGGAAACTGGACTCTGCTGGCCTTGGGAAGCCCAGATAACTTCTGGGATTACACACACAGAGGGGTTAGATGGGATTTATAGGACAAATTTCTTCACGGTCCAGCCTGGGAGCAGGCTGCCCAGGGAGTGACCGTCCCTGGAAGTGTTTAAAAAGTGTGGATGTGGCACTTGAGGACATGGTTTAGTGGTGGGCTTGGCAGTGTCAGTTCATGGTTGGACTAATGATCTTAGAGGGCTTTTCCAGCCTTAAAGACTACATGATTCTGTGATGATCTCTTTAAACCAGTCCTTAAATATACATTAAATACACGTTTTGGGGAGAATCTGAGCTAGGTTTACAATGATACTCTGGCTTTTAGTGGGTGATCTAGCACCCAGCCACCCTAAAACACAGGCACTTCACTTCCTTGCCTGGTGCAACCTAGCTGGGGGGGTTTTGGGGAGGCTTTTTGCACTGAGCCAGCTGCACAGGGGCAAGTTTTCCCTAACACGGGGTCCCTCTGTGGGTTTTTCAGGAATAGCTACTCCCTGTACTGTGCAGAGCTGATGGCCAACATGAAAGACGTGCCCAGCACGGAGCGGATGGTGTTGTGCAGCCAGCAGTGGAAGCTGCTCTCCCAGAAGGAAAAGGACGCCTACCACAAAAAGTGTGACCAGGTGAGTGGCCGAGGAGGGACAGGTAGGGGAAGAGGAAGGGCACCAGTGCAGAGTCTGGGCTACAAATATCCCTGAAACAAAGCCCTCACCTTTCCTCAGTCGCTGTGCTAGTCTGCATCACTGATCCTCCCTGAGGTCCTGGGTCACCTCCCTTGATCCTGTGTGGGACAGACAGATGGTCCAGGTGGAGGGTGCTGCTGCCAAGGGATTGGGGCTGGGTCAGGGGCTGCAAGGGGCAGGGATGGAGTGAGGAATCTCTCTGTAACCACACATGTCCATCTCCTTCCAGAAAAAGAAAGATTACGAGATCGAGCTGCTCCGCTTCCTAGAGGTGAGTGAGGAGGGGGTGCTCAGCCACCAGGAGATCCCAAATCTGGGAATGGGGAACTCTGCCCAGGGACTGGGATGACTTAAATGGGGAGCTGCCCTCTCTGCTCCCCCAAAACATGTGTGGGCCCAGCTGTGGGTGCTGTGCAGGTGGTTGCACATAGCCTTGACCTTCCGTCTGTCCTAATGCCTGACCCAGTCTCTTCCAGTTGGGCACTGGGAGATGAGGGTGGGCCCCCAGCGGGGAGGGGAGCAGAGGACTGGAGCTAGAGGAGGTGTTCAGTGGCTGTGGCTGTGCAGCCTCTCACTTCCTTCCCTAGCTGGGCTGTGGGCGGGGGAGCTGCACCGAGGCCACCCCAGCATGGTCCCCGTCCCCGGGCGGATGTGACACAGCCCCGGCTGCGGCTGCAGGGCCACGGGGTGGAAATCCCAGGGGTGTGCCCAGACCCAGGCACCTGCCCACCTGCTTTCACTGAGGAATGGCTGAGCTGGGGGGCAGGGGCACTGCCCACATAGGGGGTGACAGCGTGGGGACCCCCAGTCTGTACATGTGCAGTTCCAGATGCTGGTCCTGACTGGGACAGGGTGTGGATCAGGACACCCAAGTGCATTAATTCCCCTTCCCCAGAGTCCCTATTCCTCCATTGCCTCAAAGCCTCATTAGCACTGTCTAACGATGTCTCTCCTCCTATGCCACCCAGAGCCTGCCCGAGGAGGAGCAGCAGCGAGTGCTGGGCGAGGAGAAGATGCTGGGCAGCAACCGGAAAGGGGCGACGAGTCCTGCATCCAAAAAATCCTCACCAGAGACCGGCAAGGTGGGAGCAGCCCCGGGAGGGACGGGGCAGCACCTGCCAGAGCCTTGGGAAGGGGTTGTGCTTCTCAAGGGTCTTTGAGGGCTGTGTTGCCTGCATGGGCTCGCCCCCTCACAGCCCCCTGTGCCCCCCAGGCCAGCTCAGAGAAGCCCAAGCGGCCCATCTCAGCCATGTTCATCTTAGGAGGGACGGGGCAGCACCTGCCAGAGATTTGGGAGATGGGATTGTGCATCTCAAGGGTCTTTGAGGGCTGTGTTGCCTGCATGGGCTCGCCCCCTCACAGCCCCCTGTGCCCCCCAGGCCAGCTCAGAGAAGCCCAAGCGGCCCATCTCAGCCATGTTCATCTTCTCGGAGGAGAAGCGGAAGCAGCTGCAGGAGGAGCGGCCGGAGCTGTCGGAGAGCGAGCTCACCCGGCTGCTGGCCCGCATGTGGAACGACCTCTCCGAGAAGAAGAAGGTGGGTACCACCCCTCTGTTCCTCCTCCATCTCCATCTCCGCTGCTCCTGTGGGCGTCTCGGGCAGTGCAGGGGGTGCTCCTGTCCTTGTCCTGCACCACGGGGCACAAACGTCCCCTGGAGCACCTCAGTGACCTGTCACACTGGTGCCAGTGTCAGCACTGGCTGTGCCTTCCCTCTCATCACCTGGAGTCCAAAACCCACCAGATAAAGAAACCTCAGAGGGCCCTTGAGCCTCAGTGTTAAGGCTTTGGTGGTTTTCCTGATGGGGGGAGTCCCGAGATGGGGTTGGGGGCTGTCAGTGCTACTGTGGGGACAGTGCTCGGGGAGCTGCAGTGTCCCTGATGTTTGGGGGCTGTGCCCCTGCCGTGCCCCCTCACCCTGTGCCCCCTGCCCAGGCCAAGTACAAGGCGCGGGAGGCGGCGATGAAAGCGCAGTCGGAGAAGAAGCACGGCTCAGATAAGGAGGAGCGTGGGAAGCTGCCCGAGTCTCCCAAAACTGCTGAGGAGATCTGGCAACAGAGCGTCATCGGGGACTACCTGGCTCGTTTCAAGGTGAGGAGTGGGCTGGGAAAGGGGCTGGAGGTGGGATCATCACTCCCACCAGCAGGAATTCCCAGGAATTTCTCTCTGGCTCTCACACCTGGGTTTGGGCTGGGAGCCGTGGGGAGCATGGGGTCCCTGGGGGGAGCAGTGCCCCAGCAGCAGCACCCCAGTGTCCCAGGGGTTTTTGGGTCCACCTGGTGCATTGTGGTGGTTCTGTCCCACAGAACGACCGGGGCAAAGCGCTGAAGGCCATGGAGGCCACTTGGAACAACATGGAGAAGAAAGAGAAGCTGATGTGGATCAAGAAGGCAGCGGAGGATCAGAAGCGATACGAGGTGGGTCTCTGCCCCGTCCTGCCCCTCACCATGTCCCTTAGCCAGCGTGCCCCTCTCCCTGACCCTCTCTCTCTCCTGTGGCTCAGAGGGAGCTGAGCGAGATGCGGGCCCCTCCGTGCTCCACCAACTCCACCAAGAAAATGAAATTCCAGGGAGAGCCGAAGAAACCCCCAATGTGAGTACCTGGGGTGTGAAAAACTGGCTCTGGCTGTGCCGGTGGGAAGGGCCTGGAACAAGAGGAGGGAGGGAGGGTGGACCCTGGTGTGGCTGGACAGGGGTCACGGCACCTGGGTTGTCTGTGCCCCCTGTCCCAGCCCGGTCCCTGCGCTCTCCCTGTGCAGGAACGGTTACCAGAGTCTGGCTGTGCCGGTGGGAAGGGCCTGGAGCAAGAGGAGGGAGGGAGGGAGGGAGGGAGGGTGGACCCTGGTGTGGCTGGACAGGGGTCACGGCACCTGGGTTGTCTGTGCCCCCTGTCCCAGCCCGGTCCCTGCGCTCTCCCTGTGCAGGAACGGTTACCAGAAGTTCTCCCAGGAGCTCCTGTCCAACGGGGAGCTGAACCACCTCCCGCTGAAGGAGCGCATGGTGGAGATCGGCAGCCGCTGGCAGCGCATCTCCCAGGGCCAGAAGGACCACTACAAAAAACTGGCAGAGGAGCAGCAGAAACAGTACAAGGTGCACCTCGACATCTGGCTCAAGGTGGGTGCTGGATCTCCTGGTGGCAGACTGGGATCTCTTGGTTTTGGGGATGGTGTTTGGCATGGTGTCTGTTCCCACCCCTCCTCCGCAAACCACCACCTCCAGGCTGTTTTTTGACATTTTGTAACTTTAAGGGATAAAAGTTACACACGTGAGGAAGCTGTGCCCCGTGCTAGAGCCCTTCCCTGCTCCATCCCCCGTTCTGTTCCGTGCGCTCCCATCCCTGACTGTGTCCCTGTCCCCACAGAGCCTCTCGCCGCAGGAGCGGGCTGCCTACAAGGAACACATTTCCAACGTGAGTATCCGTGTGGCACTGCTGTGCTGGGATCCCAGGAGTTTGGGAGTGGGCTGGGGTTACTGGGGGCTTGGGACTGGGCAGGGTCAGTCCTGGGTGAGGCTTGGATGTGCCACACTCCGTAGAGCCCCTCCAGTGGGGATTTGTCCTTGTGGCAGTTCAGCAGTGGGGTTTTCTCTGGGCTGCACTTGAGCCCTAAAAGGCTTTGTTTTGTTCCCACAGAAACGCAAGAGCATAGGGAAGATCCGGGGTCCCAACCCCAAGATGAAGCCAACGATGCAGTCCAAGTCGGTGAGTCACAACAGCCCCATGGGGCCACCCAGGCCCCCTCCCCAGCAGCAGGTCAGGGGGGACCCACACCCCTTGTTTGGGGCATCCTTGGTGCTTCCAGTTGCCTGCCCTGTCCTCGAGAGCATAAACTTTCCCCAAATCCCTGCTCAGAACCCATCCAGGTTGGATTTTGACCCTGGCACCTGCTCAGGGTCTCTTTTTGGTGCAATTCTCAGTTTAATTGGGGAAAGGCTCCCAGCAAGGTGTGGGTAGGGAATCACCTGATCTGCTCAGTGCCTGGAGGAACCAAAGGGGGATTGTCAGGATGGAGTGGAGGTCCTGGGACTCACCAAGCCCCTCCTGTCCTGCAGGAGTCAGAGGACGATGACGAGGAGGAAGAGGAGGAGGAGGATGACGATGAAGATGAGGATGACGACGACGACAACGGCGACTCGTCGGAGGAAGGCGGGGACTCCTCGGAGTCCAGCAGCGAGGAGGAGAGCGAGGACGGGGACGAGGTGAGGCCGTGGCACGGGGAGGGCACAGGGCCCCCCTCACCCTCCCCCTGGGCTGGGGGGCACCTGCAGCCGGGCTCAGATAGATCCGTGGTGGAGGAGCCCCCCGGGGAGCTGGGGGACGTGGGGAGCAGAAGGGGAGCAGGATCCCCCCGGTGTGCCCGGGGAGGGCACGAGGAGCAGCCGCGGGCCGTAGTCAGGAGCAGCCTCGGGACGGGGGGGTGTGCAGAGCCCCCAGTGAGCAGAGAAAAATCTCCTGTCTTTTTCCTGGTGGAGATACTGAGTCTGGTCTCGGCTCCGTTTGCGCCAGTGTGAATGCCGAGTAAGTCACCAGAGTCAAAGCTTTACACCGGTGCAACTGAAATCAGACTATGCTGGATGGCGCTGGGGGCAGAAACCGTGTCCGTGCCTTGTGCTCGCCACCGGACAGGTGAGGTGTTTCCACCCCCTCGCTGGTCTCAGCTCACGCCTCTTCCTTCCCTGGCTTTAGAGGGGGGAAACTGAGGCACGAGGCGGGTCGGGTAGCCTCCCTCGGATCGTGTAGCGAGGCAGTGGCAGAGGTGAGGGCAGGACCCCCGCGCGCTGCTCCGGCACGGCCCCCCGGCCCCCCGAGCTGAGCCCTCGCAAAATCGCTCCTGGCTCCTGCCCGTGCCTTCCTCCTCCAGCCCCAGACCCCCGGGGGCAGCGGTGGGAGGGTGGGGTCACACCCCGTGCGGGGAGGGTGAGCAGGGGACAAGGAGGTGACGATGGCCCTGACCTTCTGCTCCTCCTCTCCTCTGTGCCACCGCCCTCCCAGAACGACGAGGACGATGAGGATGAGGATGATGAGGACGAGGATGACAACGACTCAGAGGGCAGCAGCAGTTCCTCCTCCTCCTCGGGGGACTCCTCCGACTCCGACTCCAACTGATCGGCCAAGCTCTTTGTAACGTCGTTTGGTTTCTCGGTTTCAGTCCCAAATCCCCCCTGCAGCCCCTCAAAATCCTTCCTCCTCTTCCTCCTGCCCCCCCGTGGGACCCCCCCAGCACGGGGAGCGGGGGCCAGGGGGACCCCTCACACTACGGAGGGGGATCAGGGGCTGCTCCCCCAGGCTGGGGGGCGAGGAGAGAGCCCCCCACCCCTGCCCCCTGCTTTACTCCCGAGGGGAAGCGATTTTTTTTTTTGGAATTTCATTCTTTCCAGGGGGGTGTCTCTCCATCCTTACCCCCACAACCCCCTCGCTACCAGCTCTGGACTTTCTAGAAAGAGAAGAAAAACACACAGGAAAAACAAACCAACCAACAACACCCCCCCACACCTTTTTTTTTTTAATTAAAAAAAAAACCCCAGAAATGGGGGAAGAAAATCCCCGCGGGCGCGGAGCACGAGCCGAGGGGCTCAGGACTCAGCCGATGGGACAATGCCTCCTCACCACCCTCCCTGCGCACCCCCAGCACCCTGGGGGTCCTCCCCACCCCCCAAAAAACCACAAAAAAACCCTTGTACAGTCTGGAAGCTGCCCCGGGAGCTGCCCGGGAACTCCACATCCACGGCACTTGGGGACGCCAGCCGGCCAGGGACGGTGACCCGCGTGTCCCCGGGGGGGTGGGAGGGGAGTGGCTGTGAGTGTGAGTGTGAGTGTGTCTGGGGGGGGCACCGGGGCCGCCCCCACCCGGGGCCGGCGGCTCAGCGTGACCAAGGGGGGGGCGCGGGGTCCCCCCGCTCTGTTGTCGGTGGTTGTTGTGCCGTTGTATTTTATTTTATTTTTGTTTTTTTTTTTTTCCTTTTTATAAAACGAGAAAGATCCATCTTTTATTTTTCATTTCCCCCCTCCCCTTTTTTCCTTGCCCTCCTCCCCTAACCCCCCCAATTTTCCTCTCTCTGGTGAAGCTGCTCCTCTCCCTTCCTTCCAAATCCTGGGGGGGGGGCACAACCAGAGCCCCCCTTGCCCCAGTGAACCCCAGTTAACACCAGTCCGTGTCCCCCCCAGGGGGGGCTCGCCCCCTCTCCGGGCCACGCTGTACATTTTGGTGTGGTTTGGGTTTATTTTGGGGGGGTCAATGCCCCCTTTCCCGGGAGGGGACGGGGCCGCGGGGAGCGGGGTGGGTGCATGGGGGGGCCTGGCAGGGCCCCCCCCTTTTTTTTAAGCAAGACACGAGCACCAGCAATCCCACGGCACCTCCCCGCAGGGTTCTGTCCCCACCCCCCAAAAACCCACCCGGTGTCACTGGGGACCCCCACTCTAATTTTTGGGGGGGCCCCCATCCTGTCCCTGGAGAGGAGCTGGGCTGGGGGACAGGATTTGGGGATCCCCAGGCAAGGGGATGGGGGGCCTGGGGGGGCTTTCTCTCATTTTTCTCCTCATGGTGGGGCAGCGGGGGGGGGCCATGCTGCAGATTTTGAGGGGTCCCTACCCCCCCAGCTCTGTAACCCCCCCAGGTTTGCTGCTCTCAGCACCCCAAATCCACCCCCACAAAGACCCCGGGGACCCCCTCGGTGCTGAGGGGAGCACCCCCAGTCCTGGCCTCACTTTGGGCTGAAAAAACACCATTTTGGGCAAAGCGCCCCCAAAGGTGGGGGCCAGGGGGTGCAGCCGGGTGCCCCCACACCGACAATCCCCCCGAGTCCCCCCGGGACCGGGGCCCCAAAAGAACCCAGATGGTGTCCCCCATCCCCCCCACTGTCCATCTGTCCGTCCCTCTGTTCCCCCTCCCACTCACCCCAATCCATTTGGGATTTTCCTTTCATTTTCATCCCAATTTTTAATCGCCGCCCCTCCCAAAATCCCCTAAGGGGAACCCCCCCCCCCAATCCCTTTTTTTCTGCTGAATGTACCCAGCACTGTCGTGTTTTAGTGGATGTGTTTTTTTTCCCCCCCCCTCCTTTTTTTTTTTTAAAAAAAAAAAAAAAAAAAAGGTAAAAAAAAATGAAATAATAAAAAAGAAAAATTCTTACAGCGCCGACAATTTGGGAGGGGGGGGGAAAGACGTTTGCGCTGCAAGAGAATTCCTGAGTGCATTTTGGCACTGCCACAAAATCCCGGGATCCTTTAGATGGAAGTTCTTGTGAATTACGTTAAAAAAAAAAAGGCAAAAAAACACCAAAAAAAAAAAAAGATTAAAAAAAAAATCATCTTTTTTTTCTAATATTTAAAGAGTGTTTTTGTAGGTTTAAAAAAAAGACAAAAAAAAGGAAAAAAAAATAAAAATAATAATAATCCCAACTCGGAATTTGTACGGCTGAGCGGGACGTGGGGGTCACGTCCCTGCTTTCCCGGTTTGCTTGGGGTTTCGGTTCTTTTGTTTTGTTTTGTTTTGTTTATTTTTGAGTTTTTTGGGGTTTTTCGGTTTTTTTTTCTTTTTTTTTTCGCTTTTTTTTTGTATAATAAAGTGAAAAATAATGTTTCTGTTCTCATGTCATTACTATAAAAAAATAAAATTTTAGGAAAAAAAAAAAAAAAAGGACAAGCGTGAGGAGTTTCTTTCCTCCTTCCTGTGGGGATCCGCTGTGGGAGGGACCCCCCAGGGCTCATTTTTGGGGGGGTCTGGAATTGGGGCAGGGATTTGGGGACATCCGTGGGGCTGGAATGGCACCGGGGTGTCTCAGTGGGGGCTGTAGGGGTGAGGGCCGGGGGTTCGGGGGTCCCGGGTGGTTCGGGGGTCCCGGGGGGTCCCGGGGGTCCCGGGGGGTCCCGGGGGTCCCCCCGCCGCACCGGAGAGCGGCCTGCTGACCCCGCCCCGCGGCCGGCCCGTGGGCGCTCGGGGACGCCGCGATCCGCCCGGGACCCTCCCCGGGATCATCCCCGGGACCCTCCCCGGGACCGCCCGCCCCCCGTCCGGAGAGGCCCCGGGACCTTCCCCGGGTCCTGAGCCTCCCTTTCCCCCTCCCTCGCTCTCCACCCGAGGGCCCCCAGGGCCCCCCCAGGCCTGCTGGGCTCTGCTGAGATCCCCCTCTCCCCTCTTTCCTGCCCCCCCGGTTCCCCAGAGTCCCCACAACCCTCACTGGGCCCCCCAGCCCTATGCGAGACCCCCCCCGGCCCTGAGATCTCCCTTCCTCCCCCATTTTCCTGTTTTTCCATCCACTCCTGAGAGCTCCGGGGCCCTCCCTTGTCTCCCCCAGGTTGGTGAGAGACCCCCCCCTGTGCCACCTTTAACCCCCTTCCCTGTCTGTGCCCCCCACCCTCCTCTCCTGAGAGCTCCCAGGACCCTCAGGCCCTGAGACCCCTCATTCCCAACCCCCCTGCCCTGATCCTGGGACCCTCCCTGCCCTCCCCAGCCTTATGGGAGACCCCCCTGAGCCCCCCCACCTTCTCCCTCTCCCTTTTCTGCCTCGGCTTGGGGGGTGCTGGGGGCTGAGCCAATTCCAGCCCGTTTGCTCTCCGTTGTGGAAGGAAGGAATGCCTGGATCAGCAGATTGGGGTGTAGGGGGGCCGTGGAGACCCCTCTGGTGTCCCCCTTCCCGGTGGCTGAGCAGAGTCCCCCCAGCTCTGTGACAATCAGGGGTTCCACTGCTCAGCACCTCAGGGGTTGCCTGACCATGACTTTGGGGTCTTTAAACTCTCATTGTTGTGGGGGGGAGGCCAGGCCCCATTTTGGGGGCACACGGTGCTCCCCTCCCTGCCCTGTCCCCTGTGTGCTGCAAGGGAGGGTGATGCAGCAAAACCCACCCCTGCAGGAGGGGAGGGGACAGTTTGGGGACACCCTGGGGACACCTGCAGCCCCGGGACAACGGGGGGGTGAGGTGGGGCTCTGGGGGGGTTTGACACCTCTCTGAAGGCCGGGCACACCCCAGGCTGGCCTGAGGGGTGGGGGACTGGGGACACCCCACCCTTGTCAGCCAGTGTCCCCCACTTACCCATGCCAGGCTGGGGATGGGGAGGGTCCTGCCCAGCTGGGAGACCCCCGAGCCCTCCCACTTCACTCCAGACAACGGGGGGTGAGGTGGGGCTCTGGGGGGGTTTGACACCTCTCTGAAGGCCGGGCACACCCCAGGCTGGCCTGAGGGGTGGGGGACTGGGGACACCCCACCCTTGTCAGCCAGTGTCCCCCACTTACCCATGCCAGGCTGGGGAGGGTCCTGCCCAGCTGGGGGACCCCCGAGCCCTCCCACTTCACTCCTGGAGGGTTTAACCCCGGGACTCTTTCTCTTGAGGATCCCCCAGGGTGTGCAGTGGGATTTGGGCTGGGAAGGGGGTTGGGAGGGGTCTGCAGGTGAGGGTGAGGTGCCAGTGAGACCCCCCCATGCCCCCAGCCCCCCGTGTCCCGTGCTATGAGCGTTCGGCGTGACTTCTCCGCAAGCAGCTGCAAATGAAAATGGAGGATATGTCTTTGTCTGGCCTGGATAACAGCAAACTGGAGGTGAGCTGCCCCGTCTGGGGGTCTGTCTGTCCCCTGGGGTGTCCGTGTATGCCCCCCCCCATCCCTAACAGCCCCCCCTGGGCCCCCAGGCCATCGCACACGAGATTTACACGGAGCTGGTGGAGGATGCTTGCCTGGGGCTGTGCTTCGAGGTGCACCGGGCTGTCAAGTGCGGCTACTTCTTCCTGGATGACACAGACCCCGACAGCATGAAGGACTTTGGTGAGCCCCCCGAGTTCCCCGGGGCTCAGGGTGATGCTGGTGACAGGGACACAGCCAGGCCCCTGCTCTCTGAGGGGATTGGTGGTCCCCACACACAGGGATTTAGGTTTGAGGGCCCAAATGTCCCCCCAACAGTGACCAGACTGTCCCAGAGGGAGGGCACTGAACCCCAAAACGTGGTGCTGGGACCTTGGGGGGCACAGCTGGGGTGTGGGTGGGAGGTGGCAGAGACTCCCTGGCAGCACTGCCACTGGTGTCAGCCCCACTGAGGCTGTGGGGAAGGGTCTGGCAGCCCCAGGGACCCCGCTGAGGCTGTGGGGAAGGGTCTGGCAGCCCCAGGGACCCCGCTGAGGCTGTGGGGAAGGGTCTGGCAGCCCCAGGGACCCCGCTGAGGCTGTGGGGAAGGGTCTGGCAGCCCCAGGGACCCCCCAGAGCAGATGTGGGGGGTCTCAGGGCAGGGGCTGAGCGTGTCCCCCCGCAGAGATCGTGGACCAGCCGGGCGTGGACATCTTCGGGCAGGTGTACAACCAGTGGAAGAACAAGGAGTGCGTGTGCCCCAACTGCAGCCGCAGCATCGCCGCCTCGCGCTTCGCCCCGCACCTGGAGAAGTGCCTGGGCATGGGCCGCAACAGCAGCCGCATCGCCAACCGCAGGTGGGGCCGGCTGCTCCGGGGAAACTGAGGCACCGGCGCCGAGCCTGCCCGCCCCACCCCGTGGGGGGCTGTGGTTCAGGCTCTGAGGAGCCTGGGGTGTGAATTCGGCCGGTTCTGGGTCTCCTCAGTACTCGCTTTCCAGCCTGGGGGTGTCCAGCTTGGTTCCCCCTGGAGCTCCTCTTGTTCTTCCCTGCCGGTTTATCCCTCCTGGGAAAGTGAGCTGGGACCCCTGGGTCCTGTGTTCCCCCCACCTTGGGTCCTGTGTTCCCCCCACCTTGGGTCCTGTGTCCCCTCCATGGTCCTGTGTCCCCCCCTGGGTGCTCTGTCCCCTCCATGGTCCTGTGTCCCCCCGGGTGCTCTGTCCCCCCAGGTACTCTGTGCCCCCTGCCTCGATGGCTGCTGGGGACTCCTGTCTGGATCCCCGTGTGCTGGGGAGGCTGGGAGGGTACCAGGGGACCTGGGATGGAGGACGTGGGGCAGGCCCTGGCCGTGACCTCCTTCCCCATCCCGCTCAGGATCGCGAGCAGCAACAACCTGAACAAGTCAGAGAGTGACCAGGAGGACAACGATGACATCAATGACAACGACTGGTCCTATGGCTCCGAGAAGAAAGGTGGGGAGGGGTCTCTGCTGTCCTGAGGGGTGGGGGACACATCCTGCCTGCCCCATGGCCCCTGAACCCCGGTGCTGGGTGGGTGTGTAGGGGGAGAGCAGCTGTGGGTGGTGGTCCCAGCCCTGGGGAGGCAGCGGTGGCTCTGGGAAGGGGCTGCATGCCCTGGAAAAGGTCAAATCTCTCCTTTCTGTCTCTCCCCACAGCCAAGAAGAGGAAATCGGATAAGGTGAGGGGTGCAGGGAAGGGTGGGGGGCACGGGGAGGACACAGGACACCCCCAACACCCCCCTCTCTTTGCAGAACCCCAACTCGCCCCGCAGGTCCAAGTCCCTGAAACACAAAAATGGTGAGGGGGCGGGGCTGGCACCCCTGGGGTGGGGCTAAAAATGGGGGAGGGGGCTCACACCTTTGGGGCGGGGCATGGATGGGCGGGGCACGTGTGGGGGTGGGGCATTTGGGGTGGGTGGGGCTTGTGGGGAGGCGGGGCTCTCCCTGGCTGGGGTGGTGGCGGTGGGAGGGGGCCCTGGGGGTCCCAGGCAGGGCCAGGCTGGGGGCAGGACCCCCCTCACCTTTCCTCCCTGCCAGGCGAGATCGGCGGGAACCCCGATCCCTTCAAGGTGAGCCTGGCGTGGGGGGAGATGGCTGCCAGTCCCTGCTGTGCCTCCCCAGGGGCCGCATTGCCCCCCAGGAGGGTCCCCACAGCTTCCCCCAGCCCTGAGCCTGCCCTCTGCCCCCCCAGTACAGCAACTCAGCTGGCATCAACTACGAGACGCTGGGCCCCGAGGAGCTGCGGACGCTGCTCACCACGGTGAGGGCATGGGGAGGGGGCACCACAGGGGATGGCACCCCTGGGGGCTCTCCCAGCTGCGTTCCATCCCACTGGGGCTGGTTTCCAGGCTGGGAGTGGGGACATGCAGCAAGTCCTGATTCTGGGGCAGTGGCTGCTTTGTCTGGGACACAGCACTGGGAGACTGGGGGGGGCCCAGGGGTCACTCACCTGTCCCCTCCAAACTCACCTGTCCCCTCCAAACTCACCTGTCCCCCAAACTCACCTGTCCCCCAAACTCACCTGTCCCTTCCCTCCCCAGCAATGCGGGGTCATCTCCGAACACACCAAGAAGATGTGCACCAGGTGAGGGCGGCCTGGCCTGGCCCTGCTCACTCTGGGGGGCTTCCCCAGGGTCCCCAGCATGCCCCCATCCCCAGGGGAGGGGGGAAGGCCCATCTCAGTGCTGTCTTGTTCCCAGGTCCCTGCGGTGTCCCCAGCACACGGATGAGCAGCGCAGGGCAGTCCGGGTTTACCTCCTCGGGCCCTCCGCGTAAGTGGGGGCAGATCGGGGGTCCCAGGGTCCTGTGGAACTGCATGGGGGGCTGCATGGGGTGCTCGGGAGGGGCTGGGGACAGGGACAGGCTGGGGAGGCCTGGAGGGGACGGGAGCCCAGGGCTGGGGTTGGGGTTTGCAGCCCAGCAGGGTGGTGGGTGCTGGGCCGAGCCCCTGGGCGTCCCCCTGGCATTTGGGGGGGCTCTGTCCCCTCTGCCCTCTGTAACACCTGTGCCCAGGTCCCTGCCCGAGGCCGAGGGCGGCGTGGAGAACGACAGCTTCGAGGTGGCTGAGAGCCAGGCCCTGATGAGCCGCCTGCAGTGGGACGGCTCCTCTGACATCTCCCCCTCCGACTCGGCCTCCTCCAAAGCCAGTGAGTGTTCAGGGGCTGGGGGGCAAATCCTGGGGCACAGACCCCTCTGTGGGGGAAATCCTGGGGCACAGATCCCTCTGTGGGGGCAAAACTGGCTGTTCTGGCATGTCCCCAGTACAAGAGGGGTTGAACAGACCATGGCTCCAAATCCTAGAGCATCTTGTCCCCCACTTGGGAGGGGCAGGAACATTTTGGGGTAAATTTTCTTGCATGTTGACCCCTGTTTTGGGGCTCATCTCCTCCCTGACACCCCCATTTCTCCCCTTTCTCCCCTCCCTAGGTACAAACAACTCCGAGTCCCGCAAGACCAAGAAGAAGAAGCCCCACCTGGGGCTGGTGAGCGGCGCCCCAGGGCTGGGCTCCAGCAAGAAGAAGAAGCCCAAGCCCCCCGCCCCCCACACCCCCAGCATCTACGATGACATCAACAACTGAGCCCCGCCGAGCTGGGGAGGGGCAGGACGGACAGAGGGACGGACAGGGGCCAGGACAGCCCCCAGGCACACCGTGGGTACCGGAGCACAGAGGACTCAGCTGTGGCTGGAGTGGGGCTGGATTTGGGGAGCCCCCCTTAGTGCCCCCCTGCCTCCCCGCCCTGCCCCGGTGCCTCTATTTATTCTGTGACAGTTTTTGTACGTGGGGCTCTCTTTGGGGTGTCACCCTTGGGGGGTACAGCCCCCCCTTCCCTCCCAGCACCCCCAAAGCCAGCTGTGCCCCCCCAGACCCCCTCCTCATTTACCCCAGTGGGGTGGGGGGCACCCTGGGCAGGTCCGGGCCTGGGTCAGGGGGTTGTGAATCCCCCCTGCCCTGGGGTTTTGGGGTGAGCCCCCACTCTGGGGCTGCCCCACTCCCTGCCCTGGGCTGGCACTCGCCGGTCGGGCTGGCTCAGGAGGGGGGGTCACACTGGAGGGGGCTTTTCCCACCCAGGGGACAGGGGAGCACCCTCTCACCCCCAGCTCTGTTCAGCTGTGCCTGCACCCAGCTGGGGGGGGTCTTGGGGGCCTGGCAGTGCCCACACAGGGGGTCACAGGGGGCTGCATGCTGCATCCTTCGTGTTTGGGGGAGGGTCTGGGGGTGGGGGGAGCTGCTGTGACCATCCCTGTGCCAAACTGTTTGGGGAGGGGGGACCCCAACCTGCCAGGGACGTCTGGGGGGGAAGCAGAACTTGGGGGGAAGCCCAGCACAGAGCCCCCCACTCCTGGTGTGCCCTCCACACGTGCCTGGGGACCTGCTGCTGCAGTGGGGGGGTCAGTGGGGACCCCCACAGGCTCTGCTGTTGTTTGGGGGGGCCGGGACCAGCGCCCCGCTGTGCGGGCTGGGGGGGACAGGTCCCTCTGGCTGGATCCAGGTCACCCCCTGCCCCGTGCTCCCCTCCCTGCAGCTGTTCTCCATTGCAGGGGCTGTGCTGGGGACAGCGTTGGCTCCATCCCCTCCCTTGTGTCCCCCTCCCCATGGCTGTCTGACCCCCCCATTTTGGCCATATGTCCCCGGGGTGGAGCTGTGTCTGTCCCACACCCCGTGGCTCCTCTCGCTGGGACTCTCATTATGGTGCTCTCGACTCTGGATTCACTATTGTTTTCAAACTGCTGCTAAAGGCTGGACTGGGGGGGTCCTGCAGAGCCCCCCCCTGCATGGGGACCCCCGCGTGGTCCCTCCTGGTGTGGCTTTGGGGCTGGGCAGGTCTGGCCACCGGAGCATGCCAAGCTGGCCTTCGCGTGCCCCGGGGCCCGAGGACGGGGCTGTGGGCACCCAAAAACACGGGGGGGCCACCCCAAACTGCCTGGGGGGGGCAGCCTGAGCCCCTTCAGCTGCAATTTGGGGTCCAAGGGGTGCAGTGGGGCTTGGGGGGCTCAGCCCGTGCCCTGTGACCCCCCCAGGTTGGTGTCCTCACCCCCCCCACCCCGGTGTTTCTGCGTGTCCCCCCCCTGCAGGGGAACTGAGCCCTTGTGAGGTCTGTGTGTCCCGTGAGTGGGTTGTGGCTGCCCCTGTAAATAAAACTGCATCTTGACTTGGTACCCCTGGCGTTAATCACGGCTCGTTAATTAAACAGGGCCTTTACCCCCATCATCCCAATCCATCTCCTCCCACTCCACTCCCCACAGGATTTGTTTTTATGGCCCCCCCAGCAGTGTGGGGGGGTAGGAGAGAGCACGAAGGTACCCAGGGGGTGACCCGACACCCTTTATTGGCATTAAAAAGTCCTTGGGGAGAAGCCACGGCCCCTTCCAGCGCTGCCCCACTCCCCACAGCCGGGCAGGGGGGGCACAGCCCCTTTTTGGGGGGCAAAGTCCGGCAGCAAGGCTGGCACGGGCACCCCGCCGTGCCTCACCCCGCGTGCCCGTACACGCCGAAGGCCAGGAAGGTGACCAGCACGGTGACACCGATCAGCGACACGGTGGCCGGGGCCGTGAAGAGCTGCCGGTAGTTGATGCGGAAATACCAGCCCAGCGCCAGCACCACCATGACCGTGGGCACCATCAGCGTGCCCCCGGCCAGCGGCAGCCCCGGGGCGGCGGGGCCGGGCTCGGGCAGGGCGGGGGCGGCCGCGGCGGCCCCCCGGCAGCGGTGGCAGTGGATGACACAGTTGTCGGTGATGCGGAGCGAGCGCAGCGTGCGCGCCTGGTCCTGCAGCAGCTGCCCGCGGTAGATGAGCTTCGTCTGGCTCTCCTGGCCCGGGAAGTATTTGCTGCGGGAGGACGGAGCGGGTGGGAGGCGGCAGAGACGGCGCTCGGGGACCCCCACCCCTCCGTTAAACGGGGAGGGGACAGCGATGGAACCGCCGCTGTCACCGCCACCTCTTTCAAACTCGTTCCACAGCCCCCGGTATTTCTGGCACACCCCCCGTGCCTCACCTCTTGAGGATCCCCACGGTGTCCTCGGGCCGCGCCACCGCCACCTCCTCGGTGTCGTTGAGGAACTTGAGGCGGATCGTGATGAGGCCGGGGGAAGCGTCCCCCGCCGCCGCGGCGGCACCGGGCTCGGCGGGCTCCCGGGGCGAGCCCCGCGCCTCCGGCCGCTGCTCCGGGCCGGGGCCCGGGCGGCTCCGCGGGCTCGGCGGGCGGCCCGAGGCGGATGACGGCCGCGTCCCCGGGGCCCAGCAGCGGGCCGGGGCTGCCGCCGTCCGCCACGTACGTGGACAGCCAGGCCAGCACCAGCGCCAGCGCCAGCGCGGCCAGCCCGGCCAGCAGCGTCACCTCGTCCCCGACCCCCGGGATGAGCGGGGCGGCCGGGGGCTCCATCTCCGCCACCCCCGGTGCCGCCTCCGGGCTCGCAGCGGAGCCCGCGGGCCGGCGGCTCCTCGCGGCGGGCTCTCCTCCTCCGCGCTCCCGGGACGCCGAACCGGCAGCGGGGCAGGGTCAGGCCATCCCCGAGCTGGACGGAGCAGAGCGCTGCGGTCAGCGGGGCCCGGGCGCGGCGGGGCGGGAGGAACCGGGGATGTCCCAGCCGGTCACCGGGGGTCCCGGTGTGCCCCTGCCGGCCCCGCGGTCCCGGTGTGTCCCTGCCGGTCCCGGGGTGTCCCCGCGGTCCCCGGGGGTCCCGGGGCCCCCCCTCCCCCACTCACCGCCTCCCGCCGCCGCCGCCCGCGCCGGAAGCGCCACGTCACAGCGCGCGCCGCCAGGGGGCGGCAGGCGCGTGGGGCGTGACGTCACTGCCGCGCCCAGTGGTGGGCGTGGTCAGCGGGGGGGTGGAGCGAGCGGGACGCGCCCCAACATGGGCGGGGCTTGGGGTGGGCGGGGCTGTGACGGGAGGCGGGGTTTGTTGGGGCGGGGTCAGGGCCGCGGAGGGGCGGGGCCTCGGGAGCACCGTGGGAACTGCGGGCGGAACCCAACCCCCCCCCACGGGGCCGGACCGGGACCGGACCCCCCCGGACCGCGGTGACACCCGTCACCCCTGTCCCCAACCCCGCCAGGACCCGTCTGTCCCCTCCCTGCCACCCCTCACCCCTGTCCCCAGCCCCACCAGGACCCGTCTGTCCCCTCCCTGACACCTATGACCCCCGGCTCTGTCCCTCTCATCCCCTGTCCACCTCATCCCCTGTCCCCCCTCATCCCCTGTCCCCACAGTCCCCTGTCCCCACAGCAGTTGCCATTGCCCGCCCTGGTCCCACAGCGAAAAAGTCACCTCAAGAGCCACCTGTGCCACGTCCTTTATTGACACCAGGGCAGGGGGGGCACACGGAGGGGACACCGGTGGGGACACCGGTGGGGACACACGGCGCGCCCTCAGGAGATGAGGCCCTCGATGGGCAGCTGCAGGTAGCGGCGCAGCGGGGGCGGCAGTGCCAGCCGGGGCACGGCGGCGCGGCAGCGGGCGCCCAGGTGCCGCCGGATGGCCACACGCGCCAGGTGCTGCAGCCGCCGCGGCCGCCCCGCCATGCGCACGGCCGAGGCGTAGAACTCCCGGTGCTCCTGCACGGGGGACACGTGGGACAGTGAGCTGGGGACGCGGGCACAGCCCAGGACCCCCCAGGACACCCCCTTACCTCCCAGACCTCGGGGGGCACGGCCTCCACCCAGCCGGCGGCGGGGGGCACGCGGTCGTAGGCGTTGAGCATCACCTCCAGCGCCGGCGGGTGCTGGCAGCACAGCCTGAGCATCTGCCAGCAGAGCCGTGTCACCATTGTGTGACACCGCCACGGCCCCGTGCCCCCCGTCACCCCCGTGCCCACCTTGGGGTGCGCGGGGTGGGCGCCGTGGTCCAGCAGCAGGGCCAGGGTCTCCTCGGGGCGCTGCTGGCGGTACTCCTGCACGGCGCGCAGGGCGCAGTCCAGCGGGGTGTCCCCGGCGCCGTTGGGCACGGTGGCATCGGCGCCGTGGCGCAGCAGCAGCCGGGCCAGCTCGGGGTGCCCGTTGGCACAGGCGTTGTGCAGCGGCGTGTGGCCCTTGCGCCCCGCGGCCCCGGGCCGGGCGCCG